AAGGAGCGGAACGAAGTATGGCCAAGGCCGCGCGGCGACTCCAGACACAGCAGGGACAGCACCAGTACCCCCAGCGGCAGCACCAGCGCCAGCAGCACCTCCAGCTCCAGTACCTCCAGCAGCACCAGTAGCACCCCCAGCAGGACCGCCTCCAGGACCGACAGCACTAGCCTCAGCGCCAACACCCTCAGCAGCTCCAGCTCCAGTCGTACCCGCAGGCCCAGCAGCTCCAGTACTCCCAGTACGAGCACCTCCGGGACCCGCGGCACCAGCACCCTCAGCAGCCGAAGAACCTCCAGCTCCAGCAGCACGCCTCCAGCGCCGGGCAAACCACTCGCGCAGCTCCTGTGGAGAGAGTGGCTCCCGCCGAGACGAAGCACCCGGAGAACCTCCAGGCTCAGCACCGCCAGACGCCACACGAGCAGGCCCAGCTCCCTCAGGCTCCGCACCCCCAGGCTCAGCACCTCCAGGCGTAGCACCCCCAGGCGTAGCACTCCCAGGCTCAGCACCCCCAGGCTCAGCACCCCCAGTAGTAGCACCCCCAGGCTCAGCACCCTCAGGCTCAGCACCCCCAGTAGTAGCACCCTCAGGCTCAGCACCCCCAGGCGTAGCACCGACACGCTCAGCACCCCCAGAGTCAGCACCCCCAGGCTCAGCACCCTCAGCAGCACCAGAGTCACCAGTAACCTCGACAGGCTCGACTGCGTCTACCTGGGACACACCTGAAGGGGCAGGACCCTGAGGGGGGAGGGGGTCTACCGGGGGGGGACCTGGGACAAGGAAGAGCGGTGGCGGGGGGAGGGACGGAGTGCGGTAGGGGAAGAGGCGGTAGTAGGGGACCGACTCGTCAAACGTGATGTCCTGGGAGGACAGGACACGGCGAGAGGTGGGGTGGTAGAACTGCCACCCTGGCGCGTCAGGGGGGAAGCCAAGGAAGACGCAAGGAGCAGCACGAGGGGACAGCTTGTCCGCAGACAAGTCGCGGACAAACGCCCGAGATCCCCAGACACGGAACGCAGACGCATCGCCAACCTTCCCCGTCCACAGCAAAGCTGGGGAGGTCTCCGGCATGGAGACCCTGGGGTGAAGGTTGATCTGATGCGCCGCGTACCGAACCGCAAACGGCCACAGAAAATGGGGGGCAGCCGCATGCATCATGGACGCACGGGCGACGTCCATGACCATGCCAATGCGGCGCTCAGCAATCCCATTTTGCTGTGGAGAGTCCGGAAGCGTGAAGGTCTGGCGGATGCCTCGTGCACGACAGTAGGCTCGCAGAAGGCCAGAGGAGAACTCTCCACCTCTGTCAGAGTGCAGACGCTGAACAGGAAAGTCCGAGCCGAAGCTCTGCCTGAGCTGGAGACGAGCTGCGCGGATCCAGTCGATCAACACCTCAGTGACATCACCCTTGCTGCGCAAGGGGAAGACTGAGGTGTAACGCGAGTAGTCGTCAACCACCAGCAGGAAGTAGCGCTCGTGACCCTGTCCACGGACGCGGGCCGGGCCCCACACGTCCATGTGAAGCGTCTGCAGCGGGGCCTCTGTCGGAGGAAACTGGGAGGAGTGAGGGGCAGCCCGCTGCCGCCCCTCGACACAGGGGACGCAGGTAGGGCCAGGCCCCGGAGGAAGAGGAGGGAGGGACCGGGGAAGACCAGAGACAAGGACACGGGAGGCCATGCTTCGGAGACGAAGCAGGGAGGGGTGACCAAGGCGGTGGTGCCAGAGGAGAGTCTCGTGAGACAGGAGGCGACACGAACAGGGGGCAGACTCAGGACCAGACCTGGACGCTGCAGCAAACACCTGACCCGACGCAGCTACCTGACCAGACGCAGTGACTGGAGGAGACGCAGTGGTCAGGGTGTACAGGCTCGACCCCGGCCGACGGGTAAACGTGGCCAGGTGTCGGCCTGTCCGAGCGTCCGTGCAGTGGGTCACCCGCCGACTCGCAGGAGTGAACTGGTGAACCCCCGCATCCTGTAGGTCAGCACCACTCACCAAGTTCGTAGAGAACGAGGGAAGGTAAAGACCAGACAGGGTGCCAGAGGGGGCCGCCGGACACGGGAGGACAGTGGAGAAGTGAGCAAGGACAGGACCCCCAGAGGGGTCTGCCAGAGAGACTGCAACTGGCCGGCTAAGCGGCGTGAGTGTGGTGCGGTCTCGATAGAAGGAGCGAGAAGCCCCCGAGTCAAGGGTGAAGGTGTGGGAGGCCGAAGCCGACGCAGAACCTGAGAGAGCAGACTCACCAGCACCTGAGGGAGCAGACGCACCTAGAGCAGCAGCCTCGCTAGCACCTAGAGCAGCAGCCTCACCAGTACCTAGAGCAGCAGTCTCAATGCCCGGGTCGGGCGGAAAACACCGGTAACAGTCACCCTCATCACTAATAGTCACAGTATACATGGCAGCAAGAATAGCATCAAAGTCAAGGTCAAAGACAGCCACACCCGCCCTAGACAGCTCACCCCAGCGGGGGATCTCAGTGGCCTCAGGGAACTGGTGACGCCAAGCGTCCGTCAGGCGGCCAAAGCAGCGCTGGGTGGAGTGCGCACCCCCGCACTGCTCACCCGCGCGGTCGCCGGTGCGGAGGACGTAGGTGCACGGACCAGTACCCCCACCCCGCTGGCGTGCAGCGTACCACTCACGGAGCTGCTGAGGGGGGGGGATGTCACGAGTGCGCTGCTGCTGCTGCTGCTGCTGCTGGCGCTGACCACCACCGGAGCCGACCCTCTGCGCAGCGCCACTCCGACCAGCTCCACCTCCTCCGCCGCCTCCTCCTCCACCGCCGCCACCTCCGCTCCCTCCGCCACTGCCGCTGCCGCCTCCGCCTCCACTGCCGCCACCGACACCTCCACCCCCGCCACCACCCCCACCGCCACCCCCACCTCCTACACCGCCTCCACTGCCGCCTCCACCGCCCCCGCTAGCTCCTCCAGCGCCCCTGCCCCCCTTGCCCTTGCCAGGGCGGCGTCTCCCGCTAGGGGTAGACGCCGCACCGACCGACTCAAGCCCAACGAGGTCGGCCGCAGCAGCAGAGGCAACAGAGGGCAAAAGAGGGGAGGGGGAACACCCCTCAAAGATGGGGGTGCGAGGGTCACCACGAGAGGCTCCTACAGCTACTATGCTCTTCTCTGCTGCTAGGAGGGACTTCTCGAGGAGGTCAACGGTGAGAGTGGTGGGGCAAACTGAGAGGAAGTGGTCCCTGACTACGCGAAGGGAGTCAGGGAGCCGGGTGACTATGTAGTAGAGGGTGATGTACATGGGGGGGGGTTCTTGGCGCAGAACTCAGCAGGAAGCGCAGCGCGGTAGCGAGTGTCACTAGTGCGTAGGTGCGTAATCAGGTCAGCGACTGTGGGAAAGGCAGCAAGGTCAGGGAAGAGGTACGGTAGCATGAGGCGGCTCAGTGCAGCAGTGGCAGGGGAGGAGTAGCGTGCAACTACAGCGTCGTACAAGGTCTGAGCACTCTTGTACTGGCTAAAGTGCGCACGCTCAGAGGTAGGCAGGTGGCGACGCACAGCAAGACGTGCAGCAGCATCGCGCGTGGCCCACTAGGAGCGAACAGTGGCGTCAGCATCAGTGGCGGGGGCAGGAGAGGCACCAGAAGTGAGGTCAAAGAGGGAGAGGCCATCTGCCCTATCGCACTGTAAGAAAAGCTGCAGGTCATCTATCCAGACATCAAAGTCAATGGCCCGACCCTCAGCGTCAAAAGCGAGGACACTAGGGGTAGCCATGACAGCAGTAGACTAGCAGCGCAAACAGTGGGGTGAGGGCAGTGCTGTGAGAGAGGCGCTGCTCTTACCGGACAGGGCGGCTCGGTTGCAGGGCGGCTCGGCGACTCGGCTGCTGGGCGGCTCGGCGGCTCTGCTGCTGGGCGGCTCGGCTGCTGGGCGGCTCGGCGGCTCGGCTGCTGGGCGGCTAGGCTGCTGGGCGGCTCGGCGGGGCCGCTGAGAGGGCGGCGTCCGGGGCCGCTGGGAGGAGGCGGCGGGGCCGCTGAGAGGAGGCGGCGTGGCCGGCAAGGTAGGTGGCGGGGCCGCGTCAGGGGCCGCGACAGGGGCCGCGTCAGGGGCCGCGTCAGGGGCCGCGGCAGGGGCCGCGTCAGGGGCCGCGGCAGGGCCGCGTCAGGGCGCCGCCAGGGGCCGCGGTAGGGGCCGCGTCAGGGCCGCGTCAGGGCCGCGGCAGAGCCGCGTCAGGGCCGCGTCAGGGGCCGCTTCAGGGCCGCGGCAGGGGCCGCAGCAGGCCGCGTCAGGGCCGCGTCAGGGGCCGCGGCAGGGCCGCGTCAGGGCCGCGGCAGGGGCCGCGTCAGGGCGCCGCGTCAGGGGCCGCGTCAGGGCGCCGCCAGGGGCCGCGGCAGGGCCGCGTCAGGGCCGCGGCAGAGCCGTGTCAGGGCCGCGTCAGGGGCCGCTTCAGGGCAGCAGCAGGGGCCGCGGCAGGCCGCGTCAGGGCCGCGTCAGGGGCCACGGCAGGGCCGCGTCAGGGCGCCGCCAGGGGCCGCGTCAGGCCGCGTCAGGGCCGCGTCAGGGCGCCACCAGGGGGCGCGTCAGGGGCCGCGATAGGGCGCCGGCAGGGGCCTCGTCAGGGCGACGCCAGGGGCCGCATAGGGGGCGCGTGGGAGGCGGCGTAGGGGCCGCGTAGGGGCAGCGTAGGGGCCGCTAAAAAAAAAAAAAATTAGGGCAGGGCGCAATGTGCGCGGGCAGCTAAAAAAAAAAAATTCTTATGGTGGGCCCTTAGGAAGGAACGGTCCCATGTAGGAACCCGCTCTATACCATGTGAATCAAGAAAACAGGAATGAAATGACTAAGTGAAAGTTGGGTACAAAAGGCAAACCCTAGGCAACTGTACCCCATATGTGCTACCCCACTATAGCCTACAGTAGCTATGTCATATAACTCTGACACCAGCGCCATCCATGTTGAATATGTGGGTCCCACCGGGTTGATCCCTCATGTCATGAGGCACAAACTCAGAGAGCATGGAGTGTGAACGATATAGTTACCGATCACAAACACTCACCGCGGAGTGGCGTTGCCATCAGCCCCAGCACCATCCATGTCGAAAATGTGACCCCCGCCGGGCTGATCCCTCATAAGGCGCATGGCCTGGCGGCAGCACAGCATGACGTCCAGCACGTTGGTTCGCACGATCTCCCTGTTCACGGGGGAGAGGGGAAGGAGAAGAGGAGGGAAGGTGGTAGGAGGAGATGAGAGTTGGGTGGGTGGAAGGAGAGGGGGCATGGCCTGGCGGCAGCACAGCATGACTCCCAGCACGTTGGTTCGCATTATCTCCCTGTGTGGGGAGGAAAAGAGGGGGAAGGGAGAGTCAAGAAAATAGTGGAAGGGGAGAGGAAATGCACATGTCCTCCTCTGAGCTGCTCCCTCATGACGCGCATGGCCTGGCGGCGCACTATCTCCCTTCCCATATCCCCTTCCCACTTCCCCTTCCCACTTCCCCTTCCCACTACCCCTTCTCCCTTACTCGTCTCCCCCACTCACTCGATGGCCGCATCTCCTGCCTCCACCAGCGGACATACTCATACGCATTGGAGTCTGCATTTGCTGATTTTTTAATCGACTAAAAAATCTGCCACGACCCGTTCACACATGTGGACACACACAGTCCTCCGGATACACCCTACTCCGTCCTCCCCCACTCACTCGATGGCTGCATCCCCTGCTTCCACCAGAGGAGCGTAGTCATACGCATTGGAACCTGCATTGTTGATCTGCCATGCACGCACCCACTCACACAGTTCCGTGGCTCTGTCCTACTCTCACTCTTCCTTCCCCTCCTCCCTATGCTCACTCACTCGATTGATATACTGGCAGAAGAGGGAGTGGATGCAAGAGAAGGTGGTGGGACAAGTGGAGAATTCGAAGCAGGGAGAAGGAGGGCGGGGGTGGGACAGCAGGGGAGTGGAGTAGCTGGACCCCTTCCTTCTCCCTGCTCCCCTCCTCACTCCTCTTCCCTCTCTGCAGATGCAGAAGCAGGAGAACCTGGTCCGCGAGCAGCATTAACACCAGAAGCAGTTGCAGCAATAGTAATAGCATTTCAAACTCCCATAGCACGAACAACATTAGCAGAAGCAGTACTAGCAGCAGCAGTGCAGGCGTTTGTGACTGAGATGCGTTCGCTGTGCAGGTCCTTGGTCGTGGGGGCGAGAGGTGAGGCTTCCGCAACAGCGGTCGCACCAGCAGCAGCAGGGGCAGAAATAGCAGGAGCAGCAGCAAGAGAAGCACCAGCACCAGCAGGCTCTTCCTATTGTTGCTGGTGCTGGTGCTGGTGCTTCTCTTGCACTGCTTCTCTTGCTGCTGCTCCTGCTATTTCTGCCCCTGCTGCTGCTGGTGCGACCGTTGGAGCGGAAGCCTCACCTCTCGCCCCCATGACCAAGGACCTGCACAGCGAACGCATCTCAGTCACAAACGCCTGCACTGCTGCTGCTCTTGCTGCTGCTAAAACTGCTTCTGCTAATGTTGTTCGTGCTATGAGAGTTTGAAATGCTATTACTATTGCTGCAACTGCTTCTGCTGTTAATGCTGTTCGCGGACCAGGTTCTCCTGCTTCTGCATCTGCAGAGAGGGAAGGGGAGTGAGGAGGGGAGCGGGGAGAAGGAAGGGATCCAAGCATCCCGCAAGTCACAAAATGAGCTGGTTGATGCCCGGATGGCACGCGCTGGGAGGAAGGGGGAGCGGGAGGGGGCGAGAGGAGAGGCAGGTAGGGGGTGAATAAGAGATGGCCTCCTTAGGATTCGTAATTGCGCGCAGCCGCGCAAAGTGCAGCAACATCCTTGACCCTTGGCCAGCCGTGCGCTTCTCCAGCCCACTCAAACCACCCCACCGCAACTCATCGCTCGGCGCCCCACTACATCCCACACCACAGCACCACACGGCACCACACGGCACCACTCACATGGCAACGGCGTGGCCTGAGGAGTCGAAGGTGATAAACTGCCACGTGTGAGCGCAGGTCTGCGACAGCTGGAGCAGAGAAGGCAGGGCAGTCATCCACGGCTCGCTTCATCACCATCAGCGCGCTCCTGGGGGGTGGACGGGGAGGGGGAGTGGGAGGACGGTGAAGGGAAAGCGGGGACGGAGAAGGGAGGGGAAAGGGAGGATGGAAAACGCGGAATGGTCCTCCAGAGCCTGCTTCAGCGCCAGCAACGCACACGCTGAGGAAAGGAGTGGGAGGGGTAGGACAAGGGGAGGCCATCACTCTGCTGCCGCGTCCGCTGGGCAGGGCGGCCACTCCAGCCGCCTGGTGGGCAGCGGGCGGTACGGCGAAAGGAGAGCGGGAGAATAGGTGGAAGAAGGGGAAGGCCACTGACGGGAGGAAAAGGAGGTGCACAGGGTGAGAACGGGAGAGGAACACTGACGCGCTAGTCTCTACTAAGGCTGGAGCATCAATATCACAATACCTTCAACCACCATACTCGCATCCGCGTCAAAACAATTGTTTTGGACCTTTTTGTTTTAGGTTAATTAGTTGCTAAGTACTTAGGCTGGAGTGTGGCGGGTTAGATCTAATAGCCACAACGATTAGGTTTGGCGTAGGTATGGCAGTACGGAAATGAAAGCGAAGATTTGTTTGGGTGCATTGCGGTATGGTGGGTTTTGGGTGGGGTGGACTGGCTCGGCGAAATTGGCAAAATCAGCGCCACGGCAAACAAATCCTCGACAAATTAAATTGAAACTGTCAAATGCGAAATGTGAAGAACTAGCTTCAACTTCCTTGTAATGAATGAGGGAGGCCCTCAGGTGGTCCTGGGGTTCGTGACAAACACACAAACACCATTTTTGGGGGAAAAAAAAAGATTGTAGCAAACCGAACGCGTTTGGTTCGCCTAAGGTAAGTGCTCATCTGAGTTCGAGGCAAACATATTCGAGTTCGCCAGTTTTTTCTGCAAATCGCAGCGTTTTCAGGTTGGCCAGATCTGATCACTCGTCGAAGCCAGGGGCCTACTCCGTTTCAGCTCCTCCTAAATGCTCCTCCGTTTCTCAAGTGCTCGCCAGGTTCGTTCAAAGGGTGCCAGGAATCGAACCTAGCGAGCACTTGAGAAACGGAGGAGCATTTAGGAGGAGCTGAAACGGAGTAGGTCCCTGGCTCCGACGAGTGATCAGATCTGGCCAACCTGGAAACGCTGCGATTGGCAGAAAAAAACTCGAAAGTCGTTTCGATGTACCCTGAATAGCACGAAGATTTATAGTCTGTTCCTTAACGAAAAAACGAGAGTAAAACGCTTTTATATGATTCTTCACGGGTGATCTAGGCTACGAAGAAGAAAAGCTGAAAACACTACTACGCCATCAGACAAATAGTAGGTGCGAAGTCGGCGAAACAAGTTAACCTACACAATGAAACGCAAATAACAGACGGGAAAGCTCTCAAGCTAAGAGTCACCAAGCATCACCAGAGCACTTGAGGATGTAATAATTGGTGAAGCAGTTCGAATAGTACTAAGAGGGGGGACTGGTAGTGAAATGAGGGGATTTAAATTAACGGAGTCCAATAAGGAGGAGATGGGGGAAGAAGGGAGGGGGATTGGGGGTGAAAGAGAGTGTAAAGAGTTTTGGATTAGCAAAACGAGCTGAGATCAGCTGGCATATGATAGCAACATATGTTCACCTGATAGTGGCAAGCCCCTGAGAGCAACATAGCGTTACCTGAAGTCAGCCTGGCGTTTAGGTGGAGGCTGCAACAGAGAGCTGTTGTTTGAGATGTTACTGTGATGTGGGCAGGGGGGGAGACGGGAGAGAGGAAGGGACAGAATGCAAAGCAAGAACAACGCAGAAAACAAACAGAAAGGACAAGAGAAGTTGCTGACGGTGCTGCTGTGACCGGGGGGAAGAGCAGAGAACAGGAAATAGGAGAAAGGCGACGGGAAGCAGAGGACAGAGGGCCATACAAACTTGCCACGTGACAAGCCATAACACAATAGAGATGCAGGGCAGGGATGGCATGGCACGGGGCCATTTAACGGGCAAGGAATGGCATGGCACGGCATGGCATGGCAGGGCAAGGCATAGTGTGGCATGGCATGTCATGGCATGTAACGGGATGGCACAAGTTGACATGGCTCACACATCAGCAAGCAGGGAGGGGTGCTGGAGAGAGCTGGCAGTGGGTCGTAAAGGCAGTTGGAATGCAGATAGCTGGGTGGTGGGGCATGGAGGTCTAGGGGCATGGAATGGGATGGTTGCGGTGGGATGTGATGGGTGGGGTGGGATGGAATGGGTGGGGTGGGATGGGATGGGTGGGATGGGATGGGATGGGATGGGATGGGATGGGATGGGATGGGATGGGATGGGATGGGATGGGATGGGATGGGATGGGATGGGATGGGATGGGATGGGATGGGACGGGACGGGATGGGGAAGAGCATGGGTGACAAGGGATGTGGTAGCAGAAGCAGCATGCAGTGCAGCATGAGCAGCAGGGAGGACTCCCTTCTCACTGAAAAGGACAGTCTTGCTCTACTTCCCATTCATCCCCACTCACTCCCCACTCACTCCCCAGCTGGGGTGTGCCCACTCACTCCCCAGTCGTGTGTGCGGGGAGATGACGGCGGACTTGCGCTCGACGGCCATGAGGAGGCGCGCTCCTCACCTTGGCTCCAGGTGCGCTCACCCCACCCCACCGCGCGCTGCCCCTCCATGGCTGCCCGCAGCGCCGCCCCGTTCACCACGTTGGCGAGGTCTGCCCCGCTGAAGCCTGGCGCGCCGCGCGGTATCACTGACGTCCGCGTCATCCGCTCGGGGGATCTGGGAGGAGGGGGGGAGAGGAGAGCGGAAGGGCGTGATGGGGTTGGGGGAGTGAGAGTGAGGAGAAGAGGGAGAAGATGAAGGTCTGCATCGTCAGCTGAAGCCGAGGAGGGAGGGGAGGAGAGGAGGAGCCGAGCGCGGCCATGCAACGGCTCTCGGGGACGTTGGTGGCGGCGACCACTATCATGCCCTGGTTGTTGGTTGTGCTTGAAGCCGCCCAGTCCAGCTCCACGAGCAGCTGCTTGAGCGTCGCGTCATCTCCATGCACTGCACTGCTGGTCCTCCTTGGGATTGCGTTGCGACTGCCGCCTATGGCGTCTATCTCGCCGAGAAACACGACGAGGGCGCCGCCTCCTGAGGCGCCTCAAACGGCCTTGTTGGCGGCGGCGAAGATTTCATGGTAATCTTCTGGTGTGACTCAAGTTAGTCTTGGTAAGGTTTCATGGCTTATCGGAGTCCAAGGCTACTAGGACTATAGATTGGCTATAAATCGCTTAACAAGTTTCTTTGTACAAAAAGATCACGAGAATAGTTACCACTTACGACTAGGAACATTTCTAAGGCGGATCCAAGGGTGCTACCGTAATCAGGAGAACACAAGAACACCATTTTTTGGGGAAAAAAAAAGTTTGTGGCAAACCGAACGCGTTTGGTTCGCCTAAAGTAAGTGCTCGTTTGAGTTCGAGGCAAACACATTCGAGTTGGCCATTTGCTAATGTCTACCATCACCCACCATCCATCGCCCACCTCCCATCGCCCACCACCCATCGCCCACCACCCATCGCCCACCACCCACCACGCATCGGACCCATGGCTAATCACGTGGCGCCATGTGGCATGCACGAGGCATGCGCCCTGCTGAGCACTCCGCGCCCCGCACGTTCACACCACCTCGCACCCACTCGCATGCCCCATCGCAGCTTCGGGCCTGCAGAAGAGAGAGGGACGGGCAAGGGAAGGGAAGGGCGACAGAGGGGAAGGGCGAGGCAGGGAAATGGCGAGGCAGGGGAAAGGCCAGGGAGGGGAAGGGCATGAGCATGAAGCGTGTGGAGTCAACTCAGATGGAGTGAACCAACTTTGAGTCGAGTTGAGTTAATCTCGAATAAGCGAGACTCGCGGGCCAAGCTTGACTGGCGGGCCGAAACTTGGGGGACGGGAGTAGGGGGGGGAAGAAGGGTGGGGTTGTTTAGCTTCTCTGCATTCGCGATCTTGTCTCGTCAAAAACAGTAGCCAGAAAAAAATAAACTCGCTGCTCATGTCTCATAAGACAAGGGATGCGAAGGGCGGGGAGGGGAAGGGTGAGGACGATTGGTACAGGAGGAGAGAGTCCCATCAACAATCCCCCATCGCACATCATCCTTCCCCCATCCCCCATGCCCCATACCCCATACCCCATCATCCATCACCCATTGGCCTGGCCATTACCCAGAGCGTGGCGGGATGCAAGGTAAGTCCCCTCGACCTGCTCTCGCCCACACCACACCACAGGCACATGCCACGCCTCGCCATGGCGACAGGAGAGCGAAGTAGCGTCCGAGAGTGGGGAGTGTGGGCGGTGGAAGCGGCATGCGGAGCAGCTGTGATGGCAGTAGACGGAAAGGAGGGAGGGGGGAGCATGGGCTCCACCCGCGCCTCTAGCAGCGCCACGCCGTGCCTGCAGGGGCAAGGGGGACGGGGAGGGGCAGACGCGGACGAGGACGGGGAGCAGGGGGGACAAGCAGGGAGGTGTGTGGGACGGGTAGGGGGGTGGGCGGGAGGACGGGAGGAAAGAGAGAGGTGAAGAGGGTGTGCGCGGATGGATGGGGAATCATGCCATGCCATGCCGAGAAATGCTGTGCCCTGCCATGCCCTGCCATGCCGTGCCATGCCATGTGTCAGGAGAGGGAGCAGAGGGGACGGGTTGGCAAGTGCAGAGAGGGAGCAAGGAGAAGAGAGGAAGGATCCGGAGCACTTGAATCGATGCTCATTCAATGTAAAGCATCTCGCATGAAAAAACAAATATACTTTGGTGGCTGAGGGGGGAGAAAGGGGAACATGCAGGCATATACATGACATGACAGTAGAGTTGATGGAGGAAAGACGATGATTGGGTGGAGGGGGGGAGAGCACCTTGTGCGCAAGTGCCTTGCGACGTGCCTCGTGTTGTGGTGACGCCACAGCGGGGGAAGTGGGCGTGTGGGTGGCGGCAGCAGTGAAGCGCAAGGTACCGGGCGGAATGGAATCTGGGGTGTTAGTGGAGGGCAGTGGCGTGAGGGACGAGAGGGGGGAGAGCGGGCAGGTCTTCACACTCATGGCCTCCTGGTTAGATCGCCTCCAGTTAACGTCCCTTACCGTAGCACACACCTGCGGTTGCTCCACACACCCTCCTACCATCACACACCTCCCATCGCCCGCCACACCTCCCATCGCCCGCCACCCATCAACCACCACCCACCCCACCACCCATCAGTCATCAGGCAGCACCCACCTTGCATGGGCCATGAGCCATGTGGCTAGTCCCTGGCGGCATGAGGCATGCACGAGACATGCGCCCAGGCTGAGCACCCCGCGACCAGCACGCTCGCACCAACTCGCACCCACTCGCACCCACTTGCATGCCCCATCGCACCCACTCGCATGCCCCATCGCAGCTTCAGACCTGCGGGAGAGACAGGGTGGGCGGGCGAGAACAATGGTGAGAGAGGGGAAGGGCGAGGGAGGGGAAGGGCATGAGCTTGACTAGCGGGCCGAAACTTGGGGGACAGAAGGGGGGGGGGGGGGAGGGTGGGGTTGATAAGCTTGTGTGCATTTGCGACCTTGTTTCGTCGGAACATGTTTAAGCCACGGAAAAAACAGACTCGCTGCTCATGTCTCATAAGACAACGAATGGGAAGGGCGAGGGAAGGAAAGGGCGGGGAAGGGAAAGGGCGAGGACGATTGGCACATGAGAGCGGTGCAGGAGAGAGACCCTTCCCCCTTCCCCCTTCCCCCTTCCCCCTTCCCCCTTCCCCCTTCCCCCTTCCCCCATCCCCCTTCCCCCTTCCCCCTTCCCCCTTCCCCCTTCCCCCATCCCCCTTCCCCCATCGCCCTTCCCCCCATCCCCCTTCCCCCATCGCCCATCGCCCATGCCCCATCCCCCATCCCAGATCACCCATGCCCCTTCCCCCATCCCCCACCACCCATGCCCATCACCTGTCGCCCTGACCATTGGTGTGGCCATCACCCAGAGCGTGGCAGGATGCAAGTCCGCTCGTGCTGCTCTTGCCCACACCACACCACAGGCACATTGGCTCGGCTCGCCGTGGCGACAGGTGAGCATGTCGCCTGCACTCGCTCCCGTCCCTGTGCCCGTGCACCCAGCCTTGGCGCCCGCCTGCCTGCCCACACCAGCCGTGCTCCAAGCTCCCAACGTGCCCGCTCAGCACTGCACCATGCCATACCATGCCATGCCATTCCATGCCATGACATGCCACTCCAGCCACGCCATTCCATTCCATGCCATTCCATGCCAAACCACACCGTACCATACCATGCCAAGTCATGCCGTACCATATACAATGCCTCGCCATGCCGTACTATGCCACGCCTTGCCACATTATGACACGCCATGCCGCACGCCATGCGACGTTTGAAATGTGAACGGGATGCGGGGTGCAAGTGCAGCATGGGCAGCAGAGGCAAGGGCCATGCAGCGATGGTGGCGCTGCGTGGAGGGAGATGCTTGGTGGTGTGAGTGAGGTGAGATGGGAGTGGGCGTGGGAAAGGGAGCATGTGCAGGACAGGACACGCACCAGGCAGCTCACAGAGCGCAGAGAGGAGCACACGAAAGGCCTCCTCGCCACGCCACGGCGCCTCACGCCTCTCCTCGTCTTTCACCTCACCACCCGTGCCACTGCCACCGCCGCCATCCCCACCACCATCACCAGCAGTAGCAGCAGTTCGGACGTGCGAGAGGGAGGTGCGCGGAGGCGAGAAGGAAGGACGAGGGAAGGAGAGGAGGAATGATGGGTGGCGGGAGGGAGGCGTGTGAGCATGCGACGAGGTGGCAGGCTATGTGGAGAAAGACGCTGGGGCAGCCCTGCGTCCTGCGTCCGGACGCAGCGTCCGGACGCAAAGACGCAGGACGCGCGTCCGGACGCAGGACGCACCCTGGAAAATTTTTCGGGCAGACCGAGAATTTTTTTTTTTTCGCGATCGCGAAATTGACATTCGCGATTTCGTCGCGAATGTCAATTTCGCCGAAATTCGACACCCCCCAAGCAAATTCGACCCCCAAAACCAGCCATCTAATTCACCCCTAACCCCCTCCCCTTTTTGCAAAATTGATTTGGAAATCCAACCCCTCTCCACCACTCCACAACTAGGAAACCCAACCTTTGTGGTCCACCACCCCCACAAAGCCCATTTAGTTCATGAAACCTCTCATTTGTGCTCCCTTTTCTCACAACCCAATTCTCTTTCAAAAACCCTAGTGGTTTTAGCTCCTTTCCGCGCACCACCGTTATGGCTAGCTCCTTGTGTTCGCGACCTTGTGTTCGTTGCGCACAACTGGAACGTTGTGCACAACCACCACAAGGGTGCGGCGGGTGCGGGGCCGAGTGGGGAAGTCAGGAAGGCGGGAATAGTGGAGGGGAACATTCCCCCCCGACCCCTTCCCGAGGGGTACAAGCTTGAGGAGGATGGAGAGGTGGAGGTGGATGAGGATGACCTCACCTTCGACGAGTACAAGGAGCAGGAGGATTTGGAGAAGGAGGAGGAGAAGGGGATGGAGAGCGAGGAGGATGAGTGATGCATGTTAGTTAGTGGTAGTATGCATGCATGCTAAACAACCCTTGGACTAATTGTGATTATGGAAATTTGGGGCTCACCTTCATGTTCTATTGTTGTGGCTGAAATTTTGTTGTTGAGGAGAATTTTTGCTATGAAAGTGTGTTCCCCCCCCCCCCCCCCCCCCCTCTTACCCCCTCTTCCCTCTGCCCTATAACTTTTTTTTTGGCTGCCTGGGGGGTTTTTTTTGGCTGCCCGGACCTGCGTCTTTTGCTGCGTCTCGGGGGCCCTAAACTAGCGTCCAGCGTCTGGACGCATGCGTCCAGGACGCTGGACGCGTCTTTCTCCACATAGGTGGCAGGGGGCGGGGCGGGGCGCAAGATGCGGAGAGCAAGTAGCGCGCGAGAGTGGGGAGTGTGGGCGGTGGCAGCGGCACGCGGAGCTGCTGTGATCGCAATAGACGGAAAGGAGGGAGGGGGGAGCATGGGCTCCACCCGCGCCTCTAGCAGCGGCACGCCGTGCCTGCAGGGGAAAGGGGGACGGGGAGGGGCAGAGGGGGACGCGCAAGGGGAGCAGGGGGGTCAAGCAGGGTGGTGTGGGGGACGGGTAGGGGGGTGGGCGGGAGGACGGGAGGAAAGAGAGAGGTGAAGAGGGTGTGCGTGGATGGATGGTGAGTGTGCGCCGGCAGGATACGCAGGCAGAGCGCCCCTCACCCCATGCACCATGCACCTCAACCATGCAACCCGCCCCTCCCTCACCCCATGCACTCGCCCCTCCCTCACCCCATGCACCACGCACCTCAACCATGCAACGCACACTCACCCCATGCACCGTGCACTCACCCCATGCGCCGTGCACTCACCCCATGCGCCGTGCACTCACCCCATGCGCCGTGCACTCACCCCATGCACCGCGCGCCTCACCCCATGCAGCGCGTGGCACTGACCGTGGGTAAGGCACTCTCCCCTCGCGTGTGACCCCCTTGCCGCCCACGGAGCACGGCAGCGCAGCGAGCCATGTGGGAGGCTTGCGAGCAGCTATGGGCGCAGCTATGGGCGGGTGTGCGAGCAGCTATGGGCGCAGGAGGAAAGGGGTCCTTGGAAAGCGCCTGCAGCTGCGCCGCCTTCTCCTTCACCTCCTCCCTCAGCTGGGCCTCTGCCGCCCGTCTCTCCTCCAGATCCTTGGAAACCGCCAGTAGCTGCTCTGCTTGCGCCGCCTTCTTCTTCACCTCCTCCCTCAGCTTGGCCTCTTCCGCCTGGTTCTCCACCAATCGCTGCTTAACGGTCTCCAGCCTGGCCGCCAACTAATCCCGCTCTGCTGACGAGTGCAGATTCAGCTGGGCATGTGCCGCCCAGCTCTCCTAAAGTTGCTGCACTGCGGTCGCCAGCCTGGCTGCCAGCCCATCCCCCTTTGCTGTCGAGTGCTGCTCCAACACTTTGAGCTGGCGGGGAGTATGGGAGAAGGGAGATGCGTGGGGACGTGAGGACATGCGGGGGAGGAGGGAGTGGGAGGCAATGAGGATGGGGTTGAAGCAGTTTCAAATACCAGAGTGCGACCGATGGGACGGCCTGGCAGCCAAACTGGCAACCGCCATGCAACTGGAGGACAGCCGGGCGGCAAATGCCCAGCTGAGGGAGGAGGTGAACGGGAACGAGGCGCAGTCACGTCTTTTCTGCTTCTCTGCCTGCTCTCTTGTCCCGCTATTTCCACTTATTTTCCGCTACTCTGCCTGCTATTATCCCCATGTTTCCACTTCTTTCAGCTTCTCTGCCTGCTATAACTCTTCCTATTTCTTCCTGCCACTCCACTTCTCCTCCCACTCCATGGCCGCTCATTCCTCGCCATTTGCACATGCGGCTCAAGGCGGTGGGCAGGCGATCACAGGAGCAGGGATGCCGGGTGATGTGAACCCCCACTCGATTTTTCCTCTGCGCCCCCATGCCTCATAGGCAGAGGAGCAGGTGCAGGCAGCTGTGCGGGAGAAGCAAGCCCTGGAGCAGCGCCTGGAGAACCTGGAGCTCTCAACGGCCGACCAGGTGAGCCTTTTTTTTCACCTGAGGCGCTGACCTCAGGTCAAACCTAGCGGCGATGTGGGATAGGCATGCCTTGGAGCAGTAGCTCGCGCCAGCATCTGAAACTGCTTCAACCCCATCTTTTCCTTGCTGGCAGGGAGGAGGAGGGACTAGGAGGAATGCATGCAACCTCCCTGCCGCACGCACTCCTAGTCCCTCCTCCTCCCTGCCAGTAAGGAAAGGATGGGGTTGAAGCAGTTTCAGATGCTAGCGCAAGGTACTGCTCCAAGGCATGCCCTATCCCGCATCACCGCTAGGTTTGACCTGAGGCCAGCGTCTCAGATGAAAAAAGGCTCACCTGGTCGGCCGTTGAGAGCTCCAGGTTCTCCAGGCGCTGCTCCAGGGCTTGCTTCTCCCGCACAGCTGCCTGCACCTGCTCCTCTGCCTATGAGGCATGGGGGCGCAGAGGAAAAGTCGAGAGAGGGTTCACATCACACGGCATCCCTGCGCCTGCTCATGTGTTCGCGTGCCCACTGCCTTCAGCTGCATGTGCAAATGGCGAGGAATGAGCGGCCAAGGAGTGGGAGGAGAAGTGGAGTGGGAGGAGAAGTGGAGTGGGAGAAAAAGAAACAGGAAGACTTATAGCAGGTCGAGAAGCGGAAAAAAGGTGGAAACATGGGGATAATAACAGGTAGAGTAGCGAAAAATAAGTGGAATAGCGGGGCAAGAAAGCAAGCAGAGAAGCAGAAAAGACGTGACAGAACATCGATGATGACCATGATTTGAAGGACAACAAGGGTGCACGCATCAAAAGCACCCACAGCGTACAACCCCCTTAGATAATCCTTTCTTGCTTGCACATAAGATTTCTCCACAAGCACAGGGCCGTCAGCTGCACCCCACACTCCCCACCCGACCTGCATCGTACTTGCCATGCGACATGCGCACCCCACCTGCATGAGTTGCGGCGCCACAGTGTGGTACTTGAGCGGGCCGGGGAAGTCCACACTGTCAGCTGCACCTCGCCCTCCCTCCCTGGACTGGGCGCCGTGAACATTATTGACACCTGCCATGGTGCAGAGCGGTGGCGAGGGGTGGAGAAGGGAGGAGAGGGGTTAACAGCGGGGGGTGTGTGAGAATGTAGGGACTGCAATGATAAGGGGACGATGGGACGCGTATGCAAGGTGTGAGATGAGAGCAGTGACTCAGCATAGTATGGGATGGCGTAGCTGGCATGGGTGTGCGACACAGGGCTCACATGCACATAACATCAACATGCACACAGCACTCACATGCACCCAGCAGCACTCACATGCACACAACACTCACATGCACACAGCACTCACATGCACAAACACAATCACGTGGGGGAACTTGGCAACTTTGAACCGAGCAATGACTTTCTTCGTGCCAAAGTGCTCCCCACCACCTTCCGCAAAAGACGCACTCATGCCACTATTTCCGCAGTTGGTGCTGCAAACTGCCGCGCTGCCGCCACCAACTGGGACAAAGAGGAGACAGGGGGAGAAGAGGGCGGGCATGTATGGAGATGTGACGTGGTGCCAGCACGATCATGTGGAATTCAGTCTGCCACGGGACAAGAGCAGTGCCTTCTAGCTTATTGCACATGTGCGCACGAGCTGCACTGCACCCCAAACCATCCCAACCCCACCTGCATGAGCCGCGGCGCCAAAGTGTGGTAGACATTGGAGTGGAAAGGGGAGCGGTAAAGAGGGGAGGAAACAGGAATTGGGAGAGGAAGGTGATGTAATCTAGGGAAGAGTTTGAAACAGTGGTGGACGGAAGAAGGGAGTGGTGCTGTCCGGTGCTGGAGGGTGCTCTGCAGGGAGGTGGAGTTTGAGGGTGCGCCAGATGGCGCAAGTGTGGGGGGAGATGGCAAGGGATCCCAGGGGGTGGCACACGCAGTGAGGAAGCGAAGGGAGTCGAGCTGAGGGGGCGAGAGGAGCGAGCGACATCAGAATAATGGGGTGACAGAAAAACAAGTGACAACCAACCTCGCGAGGTGACCTGTGAACGAGAGGGAAGAGCACGGTAAGGGCTCCCACACACATGGGCACACATGCTCATACACACATCGACACACATGCTCATACACACATGGGTACACATGCTCATACACACATGGGCACACATGCTCATACGCACATCGGCACACATACTCATGCACACATGGGCACACATGCTCATACACACATGGGCACGCATGGTCATACACACATGGGCACGCATGCTCATACGCACATCGGTTAGCAAAAAATGCAGAGTGCATGGGAAGGAGGGCAGAATTGTGGAGTAGTTGGAAAAGTGCAGGTGGTGAAGGGGGTGGGAGTTTCCTAGAGCAATTGGTTGGAGGGCAGGAGAGTGAAGCGGGGGCTGCAGAGCACTTGGGGAGGAAGCACTTCGAGTAGTACGAAGAGGGGAGAATCGTAGTGAAATGAGGGGATGTAAATGGAAGGAGTCCAATAAGGGGGAGATGGGGGAAGAAGGGAGGGGGATTGGGGGTGAAAGAGAGAGTAAAGAGTTTTGGATTAGCAATATGAGCTGAGATCAGCTGGCATATGATAGCAACAGATGTTCACCAGAGAGTGTGGGCGGGCGGAGGTAGGGAAGGGCTGCACGAAGCATGCAAGGCGTGGAACAGTGGGAGCGAGGAGGAGTGGTGGCACCAATGCAGTACCCTTTCACAAGCATCAGTAAGTAAGCTGCCCCAACCGCCCTCCCACACTCACCCCCATCCCATTGGCCTCCCACCCCTACCCCACCTGCCTGTCGAGCCTGGCGGTCACCACAGCAATGCTGCAGAGCAAACCGTCGGCAGGGAAGGCGTGCGGTGATGGGGGCAGGGAGGGCGTGCAGTGATGGCAACACTGCAGACACTTGCAGCTGGGGAAGGGGAAAAGGGGCTGGGCGAGGGAGGTCCATGGAAAGGGAGAGGGAGAAGAGGCAGAGGGGGAAGGGAGGGGGATCGTGCCCTCGGGTTACTCCGGGTAAAGATTGCATTATTAAGGGACATTGAGCTACACAGTGGCGCAATATGGGGTGAGCCTCAAGTCGATGCTGCTGACGACAGTGCGGGAGACGACTGGCACAGCAACGCCCACCCGCTCTTCCTCCCGCATCCCGTCTGTTGCACCTTCTGAGACGCCTCTAAAGTGCTCCCCTCTCCACTGCGCCTTCCCCTCCCCACCTGTCCCACTCCCCACTGCGCCCGCCCCTCCCCACCTTCTCCCCTCCCCACCACGACCTCCCCTCCCCCCCCCCATTGGTGCATCTCACCTGGCGACGGCACCTCGTCCATCACCGGCAGAGGCCAGCGTCGCGCGCACCTCCGCGCGCACTCCACCTTCCACGAGCTGTGCCGCCGACACACCTGCTCGATCTGCTCCTCCAACTCCGCCACCTCTTCCCGCGCCTGCCGCTCTGCCTCGCTCACCCGCTCCGCTGCCCGCCTTCTCGCGCATCGCCGTCCTCTTCCCCCTCGCATTCCGCCTGTTCAACCGCATCTGCTAGCTCTTCCTGCAGCCGCTCTACCTCCCGCGCCAACGCCGCGCTCCCCCGCTCCATATCCAACCTCCGCCAGCATTCCGCCTCCGCCACTCGCTCCGTCGCGCGAGCGCCATCTCCCTTTCCGCGCTAAGAGCCGCGCGCAACTAGTCAATCTGCGTGGAAAAGGAGTTGGAAGCAGGGATTGGCAAGTGGGAGGATACTGAGACGGGGAGAGAGGGGGGGAAGGGGGGCTAAAGGGCAGATGGGAGCTGGAGCGCGCGCAGGGGCGAGGAGAGCGGGCGCGGAGGTGAGCGCGTTACCTCGGCGGAGAGAGGCTTCTCGCTCTCCTGCATTTGCTCCAGGTGTCGCCTGTACGCGCGCACTTGGTCCGCCGCCTGTGACGCGTCCGCGCCCGCCTCGCCCGCCCACTGCTCGCCCGCCGGCCGCCTTCCCGTCGCTTCCACCAGATTTCTCCTCCCCCCCATATTTCCCCCTCCCTTCGCGCCCCGTCGCCATGTTCGCGTCGCTAAACCCCTCGATCCAATCAACAGGTTGCACCTTGAATCGCCATGTTCGCGTCGCTCTCGCGCACCCTCCAACCTTCCCCCCCTCTCTCCGCCCCGCGGGTCGCGGTAACAGCAGAAGCATTAGGCACGGATGGCGGAAGCGGGAGAGGCTGAGAAAGGGGAAAGGGGAAACCGTGAAGGGCGCGAATTTGGAGTTTGGAGAAGCGTCGCTTGCTGGCTTGAACAAGCCAACCGACGTTTAGCGGGCTGCTTCAAAGTACACGTCATGATTTTGGTTTGGAGCGAATAGATGTCATGTTACGCCCGGAGCGCGTTCCTGACTGGAAATTGGAGGAGAATTCAATTCCGACAGTTGGACTCCAGTTCATACAACGTAGAGGCCCCACCTCCGGGCGAAAATCTGACCCTGGGTCAGCGCCAATTCCCGCACTGAAACTGCGCGCACAGACACATCTGGCATGTGGGCTCGTCACTGCACTCCGCGCCCCGCTGATGTCAAGTTCATGTGTTGTGTGCATGCATGCTATCCACGCAAAATGCTTTCCACGCATCCTAGTGTAGAAATAGGAAACTCAAAGCGGTGCGAACTGACGCGCTAACCCACCTCCCTCCCCCGCCATTTCTGTCACCCGCGCGCTGCCTGGCGCAATCCTTCCCCACCCCACCCCCACTTTGCTTTGGCTCAAACCCTGGAGGCAACAGCACCTCACCTCCAGCGAGAACCAAACAACAATCCCCGTTCTTGCATCCACCGAGGCAGCTTGTGCTCTACACCCTATTCTCGATAATTGCACACCCCCTACCCCCTATTTCGAAGGTACCCTGTACGTTTTCTGGCTCGATGTGACGGACACCCAAAGATTGACGAGGGTAGTTATCGAGTCTCGCACTTAATTTTCAGAGTGAGTAGTAGAAGTGGATGGCTGCCCTGGAACTCCGGTTTCTTTTCTTCCATTTGCGAGACCCTCTCCTCCGATAGTCTTCAACCGTTGATTGCTACCCAACTTAAAACGTTTAACCGAGAGTATTTACCCCAGGGTGTGCGCTTAAGGGGTGTGAAATTATCGAGAATAGGGTGTATTCTTCGTCCTCAAGATCTCTTGACGAAATTGCCAGTGTGTTTTCAGGAAACGTGGAATTCCGTTTCTAATACCCGGATGTTGGTGCTCCGAATCCGAAGTACTGATCCCAATTTTTTTCAAATCGGAGGTAAATCATAAGCGCAGATTAGGTGAGGTCTCGTGTCACAGCACGTCGCAGGCTGTAGGTGAGCTCTCGTGTCATGATACCGCGGGTGCACAGCACACTCCAGGCGGCACAGCTCCCGACCCGCATGCATCGGGTGCCACTGTAGCGGAGGGCCCCACGGAGATGGCGTATCAACAGCAACCCCAGCAACAGCAGCCGCAACAGCAGCATCAGCCGTACATGCAACAACAGCAACCGGCACAGCAGAACTGGAACAGCGGGAATGCTTCCTCTGGCCAAGGAATGTCGGAAAATTCTGGTTCTTATCAGGCAAGTTTTTTTTTTCCCGCTATGTTGATGTGAAATTCAATTTACTTGTTTCTATCGATTGCGAAAAGTAGCTATTCACTGTAGCGCCAAGGATCGCTTCAGTGTGTGCTATAAATGGATCAACATGACCGTTTGTTCTCACTTCGCCTCCATATGCTCTTCTTTGTTCTTGATCCACGTATCCAAACCCCAATGATGTGGATTCTGGCACCCCCCCTCGGTCACCACACACCTTTCCATCACCTTCTATTCTCCCTCCTCTCTCCGCTTCCCCCATTTCCGTTACACCTTCACTCTCAGGGCGCAACGCCCGGCCAGCGCATCCCAGCAACGGCGGGCCTCCTCGTCCTAACCCCCCTGATGGGGGATTCCCCCACACCATTTTTACCTTCCTTTCTCTTCCCACCGTCTTCCCCCCCGTCCCATTTCTTTCTCCCTCTCCCCCCTCTCCTCACGCTCAGGGCGCAACGCCCGGCCAGCGCATCCTAGCAACGGCGGGCCTTCTCGGCCCCACCCCCCTGATGGGAGTCTCCCCCGTTCCCCCCGGCGCAGCTCCGGGCGCGGGGGGACCCGGGCCTGGCGGAGGCCCCGGCGCGCCGGCTTCCGCGCAGCAGCAGCCCGCGGACATGCAGGCGCAGGTGGCGCTGCTGGCGGGTCAATCAAACGACGCCACGTTGCTGCGCCTCCTTCAGCAGCGCGCAGCGCAGGGCTCGCTGCTAACGATCGTGGCGGTGGGATTCGGACTCACGGGGCGGAGGTCCCCTTGGCGGAGGGCCCCCTGGCGGATCTCCCGAGGGGGGGCCTTGGCGGAGGCCCGGGGGGGCCTGGCGGACCTGGCGCTCTTGCGGGGGCGCCAGGCGCGCAAGGAGTCGCTCCCCCGGCCGCTCTACCCTGCCCCTCTCCCGTGCCACTCAACCTGATGGCAGATGGTCAGCATGATGTTCGTGTGTGTGCCTGTGGTTGCCTCCGGCGCGGACTTGAACACACGCTTCCTCGTTCGTTGGCCTCGTAGGTAAGCCGCTTCGCTTGATTTGTTCATTCCAAATATCCACACACACACGCACACACACACACACATACACACTCACACACACTACTCACTCATATCCATGCACGCACGCACGCACGCACACATGTACTTCCCTCATAGTGCGCGGGGATTTCCTCGGGGCCGTATACATGCAAGCTCCTCTGTGCGATGTGTGTGGTCCCTTCCTTTGTGCACCGTTCACGTCTGTGTCTCACATGTTGTGGATTCACATATTCCATTCGATCGATTCCACTACTCCGGTGTTTCCACGTCACCACGTGGACGGCTCTGTGTAATGTGCTCTTGAGACCACATCCCTTAGCAGTGTTTTCCATAAGCTCATCACGCGTTGGTTCTGGTTTACTGATCTCTTGCTCTCACTGCCACTGCCATCTATCCTGCCATGATCCGTACTTGTGAAGAAAATAGAATAAGAATGAGAAGGAATTAGACCTCTGTCTACCTGCTGCTTCTCTCCACTGCACCCTGCCTATGCACCCCTGATAACCCCCCCCTCATTCTCGCCCGTTCACAGACATTTGTTACTTGTGACTCCCTCTCCCTCTCCTCGTCTCCATTCTGGTCTGAGCCGACCCACTCCAGGCGGTGGCAGCAGCTCTTTTGGCACACGTGCGGCTGAACCAGCTCTCCAGCATCGACAGTCACAAGTTGATGCATTCGTGCCTGCTTCTGGCATGGTCGGGGTACGCTTTTGACTGGCACACGTGCGGCTGAACCAGCTCTCCAGCATCGACAGTCACAAGTTGATGCATTCGTGCCTGCTTCTGGCATGGTCGGGGTACGCTTTTGACTTAAATATCTTGCTCCTCCCTACACAACCCCCTCCTTCCCCCTCCCCTCCCTTCCTCTCCAATCGATTCAGTATTTGCCGCTACCCTTCCCCTTCTTCTCTTCAACATGTGCCTGCATTGCTTATCTCGAATCACCTTCTGCTTACCACCCTCGTTCTCTCCATACGTCCTCGCCACCTTACATCCACTTCCACTCTCTACACTCCATACCAGCTACGTGTCTCTCGAATGAGAATTCAACATAACATATTGGCAGGCAGCCTAGCCACTCTCCCCTGTCCAACCCATTCTGTTCGATGTTCGCCTTCACAGGCCAAAAAATGTTTTTGGTTTTATCTTGTCGCAGAGTTTGCATGATGGACAGATTGACTTACTCTGGATCTTGACTCCCTTCAACCTGCAGTCTCGGATGGATGTTGCATTTCACATCAGCTCAAGACAATTGTATTTTCTATCATACGTTTGTCTTGAGCTGATTGGTCTGTGCATTTGGTAGTTCCCGCATGACGTAGGACGTGGCATCTAATTGAGTTTGCAGGTTGACGGGAGTCACGGTCCCTGACTTCGACGAGTAAGGCAAGCTATCCATCATGCAAACGTTGCAAAAAAACAAAAAATCATAACATCTTTTCGATGTACCCTGCATAACACAAAAAAAACCTAGTATACTCACTCACTCCCCTCCCCTCCACGAGCTCTCGCCCCCAAGCCCAGTCTTTGCTAGGCCACACATGGCATGGTCATGTCCACACCCCATCCTATCATCTTCTTTGCTCCCCCCGTGCCTTCCCTGCCCCATCCTGCGAGCAGAGGTGTAGGGCGAGCTGAGGGAGCAGCAGGGCTGCCTGTTTCCAGCTTCTCAACGCAACATGCCCCGGGGTATCTAGTGCACTGCATGGCGATGCCCAAAGTCGGCGGGCGGTGGGGCTGGACGATGTGAAAACGCGAGCAGAGGTTTAGGGCGAGCAGAGGGAGCAGCAAGGCTGCCTCGTGGACTACCGCCACATCCCCCTCACACGGGACACACTCCCCGTCGCCTCCCATGTGCATGCCCTGCACCTCTACATTCAACGGTAACCCTGCCCGCCATCTCTCCTTCCTTCATGCCTAACCGACAGGGACGCCATCCTGGCTCTTGTCTTGCAACACTCGCTGCTTTGAGCCATCTCCAACCACTTCCCACCCCTTCCCTTTCTCCCCCCTTCCCGTGTGTGCCCTCCTCACCCACCCCCCTCCCCCTTGATGCAGGTGTGGGCACGCATGGCAGTGCATTTCATCACGGCCGGGCAGAACCCTGACGAGCACGTCGCCGTGTACGCCGTCGACTCCATCCGCCAGCTGGCGCTGAAATATCCGGAGCGCTGAGCTGGCGCGCTTCATGTTCCAGAATGACATCCTAGAGGAATTTCTGCAGCTATTACACGAATTGAAGTGAGAACGTGCGAACTCTTTGTGGCGACCTGAAAATAGCAAAGGAGATGACTGGTTTTGTCAAGAATGAAAGTGTTGGTTTGACTAAGGTTGGTTGGGGTACATAAACCTAACCCTAACAGCTGTACTCCCTATAACACACCTCATTAAGACTACCACATCTGACACACCCCCATAGTCTAAGTGAGGGGTGTCAAGCAAAACCAAAAGTGTACGGTCACAAGACGAGTCACAACGAAACAAAGCTCAGGGTGGATCACAACGTCACCACACACTCCGAGCACAAGCAAAAGAGCCATAAGGCTAGTTCAAGAGTTCTCAGAGGTGTATATAAAGCGTACAAACAAGGCAAGCAGAGAACTCAAGACAACGTAAGGCGAGAACCTGTGTCAACGAGACCTAACTGCACACAACACCTCTGGTGGTCACAAGGCGGAAGCGCCTTGGTGAAGATGTCTGCAGTGTTGGCCTCGGACTCCACAAAGTCGAAGCGAGCCTGTCCACGCCTCTGCAACTCTCGCAGAAGAAAGTACCTGACGTTGATGTGCTTCACTCTTCTCTCCAGTCGCGGCTCTCGACAGAGAAGAATCGACGCCTTGTTGTCAGTGAACAAAGTCAGGGCAGAGCTCGGCTGCTCACCAAGGTCGGTGAGCAAGAAGGTCAACCAACGCAGCTCTTGTGCAGCCGTGGTTCCAGCGTAGATCTCAGCCTCAGTGGTAGAGGTCGAGACCGAGGAGGAACGCGTGGACCTCCACGAAACAGCTCTAGAGCCCAGGCTGAAACAGTACCCCTGAGTAGACCTGTGAGTCTCGGCGTCGTCAGCGTAAGAAGAGTCACAGTGTCCAGTAAGTACAACAGACTGCTGCCCTCCAAGAACCAGCCCCACGCCTGATGTCGTCGCTAAGTACTTCGCCACCCTCACAGCAGCTGTCCAGTGAACTGGACGGTGTCTCCCTGGTGCAACAAAGCGAGCCAGGATGCTGAGAGGGAAGGCGAGGTCCGGGCGAGTACAAGTCATCAGGTACATGAGGCAGCCCACAAGCTCTGCGTAAGGACCACTAGGCTCAAACGGCTCGTCAGGGAAGGGTCCAGTGAGTCTGTGGTCAACAGCAAGAGGTGTACACTGTACTGTGGAGTGCTGAAGCTCGAACCCCTGAAGGACCTGCTGCACCATGTGTGACTGTGAGAGTGTAATGGTGCGAGCGGCTCTGTCCCTGGTGATCTGCAGGCCAAGGTAGTGGCGCAGCTCACCAAGGTCAGTGCACGTGTGTCTTTTCTGCAGTTCGCGCTTCACGTCAGCCAAAGCAACCCTGTCACCAGTGGCGAAAACCAGGTCGTCGACGTAGACCAGTACAACGAACGGTGTGGAGCCACGCCGAACAAACAGCGACGGGTCGGCAGAAGACGGCTGAAAACCGAGGTCAGACAGGGTAGAACGAAGGGTGTCGTGCCACTCACGAGGAGCCTGACGGAGGCCGTAGACCGGTCGCCTCAGCCTCCACTGGGTCCCAGGAGGGAAAGTGCCGGTGAAGGCAGAGGGACGACGCAGCCAGACCTCCTCGTGTAGGCTACCCTGAAGGAAATCAGTGGAGAAGTCGAGAGAGTGTAACTCGTAGTCTCTCTGTGCTGCTACGTGCAATAACACCCGAAGAGTGGTCATCTTCGGGGTAGGCGCGAAGGTCTGAAAGAAGTCAACTCCCTCGCGCTGACTGAAACCTCTAGCCACATAGCGCGCCTTGAAGACCGGAGGAGATCCCGGTGGCCGCTTCACCCTGAAGATCCACATGCCATCGACTACGTTCGCCCCAGGGGGGGGAACCTCGTCGACGTAAGTGCCTGTGGATCTGTAGGAGGCCATCTCTGAGTCCATGGCAGCTCTCCACTGAGAGGCCCAAGGCCCTGACACTGCCTCAGCGTAAGTGCGAGGAGTCGGTATGTCAAGGGCGTCGGGGTCTCCCTCAGGGGCGAGCAGCATGGCACAGAGATGAGGGGAAGCGGCTGCCAGGAACTCTAGCTCAAACTGCCTGTCCTCTAGGGCGTCACAGCCATGGGCAGACTCACCCTCGATGGCCAGAGAACTGGTAGGAGGAGCAGCCACAAGACTGGTGGCGTAGTCAAGGCGTCGAGTAGAGGCAAACTCAGTGACTGCGGCAGTAAGAGCGGAGACAGAGGACAGAGAAGCACGTGGGTCGGTAACAAGAGAGGCGAGAACACGAGAGAGAGAACAGGACGGTACGTGCGGTAGTAGTCCGTGATAGGAGTAGAGAGGGAAGCAGTGAGAGCCGACTCAGGAGGAGAAGGAAGTACAGAAGGAGACGAACGAGGTGGACTAGAACGAAACAGGGCAGTACGAATGTCTGAGAGAGGGACAGGGGACGAGGGACGAGCACGAGGAGAGCGAGAAGTCCAAGCGTGAGAAAGAGGAGGGGACAACGAAGGCTGAGAACGAGGGAAAACAGCTAGAGTGGGGTCAGGAGGAGGAAACGTGGGACCGTAGACAGGAGGAGAGGAAGAGGGGGGAGGAGAGGGAGAGGAGGGAGGAGAGGGAGAGGGGAGACGCGCAGCCGACCCTCGACGCAGGGACCGCAAGGTGGTGCAAGCGAAGGCGGCAGCGACGGCAAGACTCGCGGGAGGCCTAAGACAAGACGCTGACTAGACATAGCGCGCAGGCGAGGAATGGACGGGTGCCCCATCCGGTGGTGCCACAGAACGGTGGGGTGGGCAAGTGACCGGCAGGAGCAAGACGCAGCAACTGGACCAAACACGGGAACCTGACCAGACACAGCTACCTAGTGAGAAGCGGCAACCTGGTGAGACGGGGGGACCTGACGGGGGGCAGTGACAGTGGTCGGGGGCAGTAGCTGCTGCTGCTGCTGCCGCGGCTGCTGCTGCTGCTGTTGCTGCTGCTGCTGCTGCTGCTGCCGCTGCTGCTGCTGCTGCTACTGCTGCCGAGGGCCAGTGTGAAGTGTGTAGAGACCAGAGCCCGGCTCAGCGGTAAAGGTGGCCAATGGCGCGTACGTGTCACCGTCGACACAAACCGCAGTCTCGCCAGAAGGCTCAATCCACACACCCACGTGACTACTCACGAGCGGCATCACACCCACCAAGTTCCTGGAGAACGAGGGGACGTGGAAACCCGTCAGGAAACCCGAGGGAACTGCTGGGCACGGAAGCGTAGTAGTGTAGCGAGAAGTGACTGGTCCCGAAGTGGGATCAGCCAGTGCTACAGAGACCGGCGCAGGAAGCGGAAGAAACAGTGCAAAGCTCCGGAGTTTAGAGTGAACGACAGCGAAGTGTCCTCCGAAGCAGCTACTGGACTAGTGTCTACACAAGTACCTACGCTAGCAGTAGGCACCTCAGCAACACAAGCACCTAAGCTAACAACACTCGAGTAAACCGAGTCAGAAGCATTAGAGTCAACAACAGCATAGATATCATGAGGAGTTCCTAAGAGATCAAGCAACTGAGAAGCCGACATGCCCCACAGAGCGGGGCCGTATCGCTGAACAAGGGGAAGCCAGTCAGGGGCAGGGCCGTCAACCCCGTAGGCCGCACGAAGTGTGTCAGTGAGCTGAGCAAAGCACTGACCCAGTGGGTGGGTGCGGCCACAGGGGAGGCCTCGGTGAGTCCCTGTCTGAACGAGATAGGTGCAGGGAGGGTGGACGGCACCACGCGACAGCTGACGCGGTCCAGACCCCTGCCCCGGAGCCTGCTGCTGCCGCTGCTGCTGCTGTCGCTGAGCCAGGCACCACGCCGCTGCTCCACCCCCTACAGCTGGCATACCAGTAGGTGGCTGACGAACCCGGGCGTCACCTCCACCAGCTGCAGCAGGGGAGTCACCAGCCGCTGCACGAGGCGCTCCTCCAGCCCCTGCACTCCCGCCGCCGCCGCTCGCCACGTCACCCCCACCGCCTCCGCCACCTCCGCCCGCACCCTGATCGCCTCTCCTACCGCTCCTACCCCTAGACCGCGAAGAAGTCGTAACAGTAGCTGCGGTCACGTCAGTAGCGGCAGTGGCAAGGGAGGCAGTAAAGGTGGGCAGCTGAGGGACAGTGCACCCGTGAAACAGTGGAGGGGGCACAGCACCAGAGGCGGAGGCAACCGAGCGGAGGTTGCTCTCGACGTCCTTGAGGGCAGACTCAATGACCTCGATAGTGAGCTCGCTAGGGTGCTTCAGAAGAAGCGCGACACGAACCGAGGCAAGGCGGTCAGGGAGGCTAGTGGCGATGAAATAGATAGTAATCGCCATAGGGGGAGGGAACAGTGCAAGCTGCTCGTCTTTGCAGACAGCGCGGCAGCTGGAATTGAGCGAGCGCAAGTGAGCGATCAAGTCAGCAGAGCGCTCAAACGAGGCGAGGTCAAGAAACAGGAACGGGAGGAACAGGCGACCAAGAGAGACAGTGGTGGGAGTAGCGTAGCGGGCCTTGATCGCAGTCAGGAACTCACTAGCCGAGCGAACCTGAGTGAAGTGGGCCTCCTCAGACTCAGGGAGGAGGCTGCTGAGGGCGATGCAGGCCGCAGCGTCACGCGACTTCCACGCTGTGAGGTCAGCACACTGGCGGGCATAACGATCTCTGGCTGCATCGCTAGGGTCAGTGCCTAAGGGTGCAGGATCGTCGGACTTAGGAAGGTCGCCAGAAGCGTGCGCCCACAGAGACTCATCTGCCTGAACCTGACTCTCTAAAAGGCGGCGCGCACGCAGGAGCCATACGGAGAACTCAAGCGGCCTACCCTCGGCGTCAAAACGCAGAACCCTAGGGGTCGCCATAGCGGTAGCGAAGGGGTGGGAACTACTGTTGCCGAAACCCTAAACGACTGAAGGGCCTGCGTAGAGCGTGACAGACAGTGCGGTGCGACGTGACAGGACGCAACTGGCAGGGACAGGCACGACAGGCGCGGACGGGCAGAGCGCACGGGGCGCGACGGACGGGCAGGGCGCAGCGGGGGCGCGACGGACGGGCAGGGCGCACGGGGCGCCACGGACGGGCAGGGCGCAGCGGGGGCGCGACGGACGGGGGACGGGACGGCAGCGCGACGCGACGAGCAGGGGACGCGACGGGCAGGGGACGGGACGGCATCGTGACGCGACGGGCAGGGGATGGGACTGGCAGCGCGACGCGACGGGCAGGGGACGCGACGGGCAGGGGACGCGACGGGCAGGGGACGCGACGGGTAGGGGACGCGACGGGCAGGGGACGCGACGGGCAGGAGACGGGATGGGCAGAGGACGGGACGAGCAGGGGACGGGACGGACAGAGGACGGGACGGGCAGGGGACGTGACGCTACGGGGAGTGCTAGCGCTACGGGCGCTTCGTAACGGAACGGGCACGCGCTAAGGGCGCGACGGGACGAAACAGGCGCAGCGGTAACAGTCGACTACGCGCTAGGGGCGTGATGGGCCCTAGGGTACGAGACAGGCTCGGGCGCTACGGATGTGAACGAGAGGTACGGGATCCCACAGGATCCTAACCTAGGTGATACCATGTCAAGAATGAAAGTGTTGGTTTGACTAAGGTTGGTTGGGGTACATAAACCTAACCCTAACAGCTGTACCCTCTATAACACACCTCATTAAGACTACCACATCTGACAGGTTTGTGTGATGTCATGGATTTAGAGGTTGTGATGTGATGGTTTCAACAGCTCTATAGGCAACTCGCTGCTTGTGAAGAGACTGGAAAAAGGAAGTGAGGGATGGAGTGCAGTGAAGCACACCGAGTGGAGTGAGATCAGTTCCCAAGAAATGTCAGCTACAGAAGGCCCTGGAGAACCCTCATGTTTCTGGCACTCTCTGGGAGCACCTGCTGATTTTAGTGAACTGAGTCGATTGCGTGACGACGAGTCATGCAAACTGCCCTCCCTACTGTTGTGAATCTCAGCTGGTATGTTTGAAGATTTGGTAGTGTTTAACAATAACATTCCTCTGCTTGCAACACAAACTAACCAAAAATCACCAGCTGTAAACTTCACGAAACCACAGATGTTGCTGATTAAAAAAAAACTGAACATGCCTTTTATACCCAGTCACCTACGCGACCTAGACCGCTTGGTAATTAGCCGAACCACCTCCTCTACCTCGTCCTCCTCTCCTTCCTCCTCATCAACTGTTTCCTCCTCTTCCTCCACACTCTCCCCTCCCCATCCCATTCCTTCTTTTTGCCCTTCCTCTCCCCGTTACCTCCACCCCTACCTCCTGCACCCCCACTTCTCCCTACACCTCTATCCCCTCCCTTCCCCTTGTTTCCCTTCTCAGCCCCACCCTTCCCGACAGTCTTTGAACCCCCGCCCTCTGCCCGCGATTCCACACCACGCCTCCCCATATCCACCGTCGTACAAGCAGCAAGCAATGACCGTCCACTCTGCATGTGCCGTCCACTCTTCGTCCCCCCATTTGCCTCTGGCGCCCGAACCACCATTCCCTTCCCTCCGCCTTCCCCTCCTCCCCTCCCTCCCTCCCCTCCCTCCTGCACTCGTCCACACTGTAGCAGCAACATCCAAGCCAGCAGACTCCACCAGAGCTGCGATCAATTCCTCCTCTTCCTCCTCCTCCACAGCTCCATTGCCCCATATAATATATATCCGCATCGAGCCTGCGAATCGTGCCTCTGTTGCCCCACACTACTTGCTGCTGCCGTGCTCCCCCTGTGCCCCCGCTTGGTAATTGCTGAGTTGCTTCCCCGGTTGCCTCCCCTTCGCCCTCCTCTGCATGTTCAGGTACTGTCCACAGGTAGATAGATCTGAGGCAGCAGTGGTGTGCAGGGAGGGTGTGTGCAGGGAGGGTGTGTGCAGGGAGGGTGTGTGCATGGAGGGTGTGTGCATGGAGTGTGTGTGCATGGAGGGTGTGTGCAGGGAGGGTGTGTGCATGGAGGGTGTGTGCATGGAGGGTGTGTGCAGGGAGGGTGTGTGCAGGGAGGGTGTGTGCATGGAGGGTGTGTGCATGGAGGGTGTGTGCATGGAGGGTGTGTGCATGGAGGGTGTGTGCATGGAGGGTGTGTGCATGGAGGGTGTGTGCATGGAGGGTGTGTGCATGGAGGGTGTGTGCATGGAGTGTGTGTGCATGGAGGGTGTGTGCATGGAGGGTGTGTGCATGGAGTGTGTGTGCATGGAGTGTGTGTGCATGGAGTGTGTGTGCATGGAGTGTGTGTGACGCACGCATCCAACGCAGAGACGCATCGTAACCTCCTCAGACTCTGTTTGTGACTTCCCCACCCTCTGTTCCCTACCTCCTCAACACTCCCCTTTCCGCTCGCCATGTCCCTTTCCCGCCACTCCCTTCCCTTCCCCCTACCCCTTTGCCCTCCTCATCATCACCTGGAGCTGCCAGTAGCGAGCAGGTCGCAGCGGGGGTGCGGCAGGTTGACGGGGGAGATGGTGGTGAGGAGGGGTGGGATAGCGGAGCCCAGCAGCGCACCCGAGGAGGCGTCCAGGAAGTCTATGGGGTGCAACGCCACTCTGCTGTAGTCTCGTTTGTACCGCCCACGCACCACCACCCGCTCTGCATCGTCCTGTGGGAGGATGGTGGTGCGACGATGGTGGTGGGACGATGGTGGTGGGACGATGGTGGTGGGACGAGGGAGTGGGTGGGAAAACGAGGGAGGGAAAGAGGGGCAGAGGGGGAGGGAGTAAGAACTGGATGGAGCGCAATAGCGAGAGGGATGGGTGGGAAGTGGACAAAAGATGCGGTTTGCATTTGAAAATATTCAGGCGTTGGTTGCACGTGAGGCGAGCCGAGCCGAGAGAAACCAGCAACGAGCGCAGACAAAATTGTTGAGGAAGGAAAAGGGATGCACTGCACAGACCTTGGGGTGCCATGCCAGTGCCAGTGCGCTCACCTTGGGGTCCCAGAGCGCCTTGTAGGGCGAGAGGTTGAGGGAGAAGTCGTCGTGAGAGTGCACGATGGTGGTGGCTGCTGCAGGTCGCCCAACACACTGCCCCACACTCGCAACCGGTTGTCCGCACACGTCCTCAGGATCCGAGTCCCCGTGACCTGACACACGCAGATACACCACATTCACACGACATGCCACAAGCATTCAGAGGGTGGTCAGTGCATTCTATGAGCACGTGCTCAGAATCCTCGTTCCCGTGGTCTAATGCATTTGGATACAACACACCCACATGGCATGCGACGGGCATTTGGAGTGTGAGCAGACAGATCAAGGAGGAGGGTAACCAATGGTAATATCATAAACATATGAGATGTCTGGACGTCACAACCAGTGACAGTGAGAGATAGTCAGAATGACGCTTGAGATAGTCACAATGATGCTTGAGATAGTCACAATGACGCTTGAGATAGTCACAATGACGCTTGAGATAGTCACAATGACGCAGACTCACGGGAGAGAAGTAAGCGCTGATGACCGTGCATGGGTGCTTTATGGAAGCGATGCGGCGCTGTGGAGACATCTGCCTCACGTCCCACAGATGCATCTGGTGGGGGCAATCACAAGCGCACGGGTTGGCGTGAGGACGAGGGCTGTGAACGGCCGCTGCACCACAAGAGAAGAAAACGCCTTTCGCAGAAACTGAGAGGGTTAGAGACAGCAGCAGCAGCAGCAGCAGCAGCAGTAGTAGGATATCCAGCAGCGGCATAGTCTGCATCATACCCAGTGGTCGGAGCCAGCAGAGAGCTACAGGTGTGGTGTGGGTCAGCGGGGTTGAGGTGCAGCGACTCCACCTTGGTGCGCTGCGCACTGCATGGCACCCCGCCACGCCTGCTGCCACCCGCTGCCGCAAACGCTCATCCAGCCTGGTGGCGGGGGCAGGGTTGACTTTTGAGTCGACTCAAAAGTCGCCTGCTGCCACCCGCTGCCGCAAACGCTCATCCAGCCTGGTGGTGGGGGCAGGCAGGAGGGCGAAGGGGGGAGAGGATGGAGACGGGAGGGAGGACGGAGGGATGAGGGCGGAGGAGGGAGGAGGGTGGAGGGGGAAGGCGGAGAGTGGGAAAAGAATGTGGGGCGATGAGGAGGGGGAGAAGGGGATTCATGGCACAAGCTGTGGGAGACACACGCATCCCCATCCACAGGTCACAGCGACACGCGCATGATGAAGCCACAACGGCACGCGCACTCACACGTGTATGCAACCAAAGCTGTCCCCAGCCACCACCTTTACACCGCCGTCACGTGCAGGTGCGTCCATGGCATAGAAACTCCCCCAGGTGCGCCCGTTGCCCTGCCAGCCCTGCGGGTTGAGGTTCGCCAGCACGGTGGCCTGGCCTGTTTCTATGTCCACCCGGCACACCTTGCTCCTCCTCCTCCTCCTCCCTCTCTATCACCGCCTGCCGGACCTGACGGCGCGTACGACGCATGGCGTGCGAGGGAACGAAAGCTAACGCAGGGGAGGTAGAACGAAAGGCGAACGGTTAGTTAATGCGGCGCGACCACGAGAAGCGCGGGAAGCACTACCAGTATAATGTTTTCTCGGTGATAATTTTGCGACGGCCTTCAGTTTCTGTGATTCCTCCAGCCAAGTCGTCTTGCGTACGCTACTTCGGCCTAAACGAAAGCTGTCGCAAAACGAGGTAACCGAAGTCGTGCGGGATTCCGCCTAGAGAAGGCAGCCCATCAAGGAAAGCAGCGTGGCGTTCCCACAGCGGAACGTTGTGGTTTCGGCGTGTGGATGTCAGATCTGGGCAGAAATTAGAGCAACAAAAATAACGGTGCAAAGCGGTTGAGGTTCGAACTTCGAGCGAAATCGCGCAAAGGCACCGCGCCCTAACCCCGCGCAACCATCTAGTGGTACCCAATTTCTCTGGAAACGTCCATGTTGCTTCCGTAGCTTGTCCACACAGATTATTTTGCGCCGACGCCTATCTCTCGAATCTAGTCTCGTTCCCCCCAATTGCAACCAGCACTCATCGCGGATGCCTGATTCGTCTCATGGTCGCTCCAGCAGATGTGCTTCGGCCTGAATAAATCACTCACGTCACTCACTCGCTCTTTACCAATAGCTTTTGTGGGTCTGCCAGAACTCTCATCAGACATTTCTTCCGTGTTCTGAACATTCAACTCGTTCTGATTGGACCTGCTTCTGGAGGTTCGGACGCCAGTGCCGCTGCCTGTGTTCGTGTAGTAGTTCCTCCAACAAACGCGGTCGCTTAGAATGGCGGCAGGATCTAGCGACAGCAAAGGCGCGGTGTTCTTAGAATCAGAGGCAAGACGATGGTGGTGAGGAAAGCGAGATCGTTGAGGGGAGAGGAGGGAAGGCAAACGGAAGAGAATCTTGGGCTGGGGGAACGGGGGAGTGAGCCAAGGCGGAGCTGATGTTTCAAAAGCCCATTATTTCCAATAGGTCGTGTTAAGTTGCTCCCCGTGTCCTCCATCCGTCCCCCTATCGCTGCATCGTCCCGTCTGCGTGTGCGTTTGCGTGTGTTCTTGTGGATGCGTGCGTGTGTGCGTGTGCGTGTGTGCGTGTGCGTGTGTGCGTGTGCGCGTGCGTGTTCGAGTGTGTGCATGCACGCAGATCGAGTTCATAGCGGAGAACGAGCTCGTGTCCATCGTGCCCAACTTCCGAGCCGACGCGCTGCACCTCCACGCCGTGAGACGCGCTACCACCCACACCGCGCACGCGCACTCACATTTAACCTCTCCCTCGCCTTCACCGTCCACACACGCAGACACGCCTTTGCCTGTTACGCTGCACGTTCTCCTTTCTTATGCCAGCCTTCTCAACCATCATTCCATGTCAACTGTCCATCCACCCCTGCGTTCTGTTCTCGTCCTCCTGTCTCCAGGGTGACATTGGGCCGTTCAGGCCTCAGATTGCCCTGCAGGTGCCGCTATGGCTGGCCATCGCTCTCAAGAAGCGCGCCAAGTGCTTCATCCAGCCGCCCCCCTGGCTTGCTGCAGGTGACCCGCATCCTTATCCCCTTCCGCGTGCTGTGCTGTTGGCAATGTTTTTATCCCAGTGCATCTGTGGGTATTACGTGGACACATGCTTGCAGTTGCTGGTTGATGTCTCTGCTTGCTGTCCTTTTCTGCATGATACGATTGGAAACGTGGCGCTCATGTTTGTTGCACTTTCTTGTCTGCAGATCGGTTGACGGAGATTCTGGAGGCAGAGAGGGAGAACGAGGGCTTTCAACCAATGCCATTCCACTATATTGAGATCTCCCAGCTCCTCTTCTCAGCAGAGAAGTAATGCATCTCTTCCTTCATTGCGCAACGTTCCAGCTTGACTCTTGTTCCTCACCGTCCTTCTTTCCCACGAACCTCACTTTTCTCCTCCGTCTCTCTTCCCCACCTCCCTTGTCCCCACTTCACATTCCTCGCCAGGCATGGCGTCGACATTCCGGATGCATACAAGGTGAATATTTCTTTCCCGCACCCTTCCAATAGTATTTGACACCCCTCACCCGTTGTCACCTCTCATGTCCATTAGTGACGCTTCCTACATTCATATTCTCCACCTCAATTCAGTGTACTTCCAATCCCACTCTCTCATGTTCCACGCATCTCTTTCTGCGCCGTTAACATCACCTTTGCACCTCCATTGCAACCATCCTGTCCACACTGCCCAGCTGCGTGCATTGCTGCAGGACATCCGAGACGTGCGGTTCAATAAGATACACCAGGGCCTCAAGAAACTCTCCTCTGCCACCAACGCTGTCAAGGTGTGATAGGGGGGTTGTTGGGTTCTGGCAACTACTGCAGCACATGTGACTCCTGCTTTACTGTTGTGTGAACTTGCCTGCTTCTGTCCTTCCACAATACGCTCAATTGTGTTTCCCATCCTGCCACACCCTGTGTACCATCTTTCACCCCACCAGCTTGTGAATCTGAGCGCCATGGAGGCGAATCTGGTGAGACCATTCTTCTGCACTGCGCTCAAGGAGGTCATGAAGAGAGAAGCGGCAGCACTGGCACAGCAGGAGCAGGAACAAGCAGAGGGGCAGGGCCAACAACCAGGGCAGAGCCAAGGAGCCAATGATTCATAGTCGCCTGCTTGTTCTATCTTTAATGCTAGTGAGTTGTGTCTACAAACACAAGGGTAATTTTGCTGGGCCAGAACTTTGAGAATGGTACCACATTGGGAGTGCCTCATAGGTCACTGTAAATAGTTACGTAGTGTATTATGGCTTGCTGTGACACCACTAGGCATATCATCCGAACTTTCTGGAGTGGTAAACAGATCTCTCATAGAAGACAGATGCTTCACAGATGAAATCCGGCCTGTATTACTGTACCAGAACACATAATGGCTTACCGGTACCCTTTACAGCTAGATCTCCTATAACCAATCTCATACCGACATGACATGCCTTCACGGCTATGGCACTTAGTTGTGTGCATAACGTTAGTGCCGAATACAAAACATGTTCCTTCCCCCTTCCCACCTTTTCCCCCCCTGTCCAGCTTGTTACACGACGGCTCAAACGTACACCCCCGTCCATAGGAAGAGGAAGAGCGTGCCAAAACCCTGATAGGAGGGCAAGTTGTCAGAAACATGAAAGAAAATGCATCAATAGGAATATAATGAAACGGTATCAGTTGAAGAGGTAATTCCAAGAGTGGTTAAGGCAAAAACGAAGGGGGGTAGGGAGTGCAGTAAACAAGCTACTCACCAACAGCACAGACGCAATGGCTGACAGGAGTAGTTCTCTAACCAAAGATCTGCTGAATTTCGAAACAGTGGCTTCATAGCTGTTTAGGGAGAAGGGCACAAGGGTGGGAGAGAGAAGGATTCCAAGAAAGGTTACAGCACAAACCCAAAACAGACGACAGGCTACGAATCTGGATGATGATACCATTCGCACTGGTTATGCCAAACATTCATGTAGATTGATCGCGTCGCAGTTCGTGCACGTTAGATCAAAATAAAATGAGTGTCAGAGTATGAGCACGTACACGAAGAAAGCTCCTGTGGCAATGAGACCGGCGGTGACGAGCGCGACGGCGAGCAACGGGTACAGCGATTGAGGCACGGGACTGGTCAGAGGGGAGAGGAGAAATAGATCCTGGATAGATAATACAAGCGTGGGGGAAGGAGGATGGTGCGAATACGAGTATGAGTTTTCAACAATGGGTCTCAAAGAGAAGGCACCGTCAACAATCAAAATATTGCCTTTCACCATTCAGGACAGCAAACGCGTAAATTCCTACGAAAATCTGGATAGGTCTAGCCAGGACTACGCTTCGCGCTCATGACCAACTCACTTGAGATGAAGGAGCCATCTTCAAAGCTGTAGATTTGGGTGCTCTGCAGCTAGATCGGGTACAGCAAAGTCACTTGCTTGAAGCTGGCAGAAAATAATGGAGGAATTGAAGAAAAATCTAGCGGTACAGACGGGGATGGTCAGTGAAAATGCCGATGTGTGGATCTAGCTGGTAGTCGCGCGAGCACTGTTGACAACTGACGGATGAGGGTGGTGGTTTTCACAAACATCTGAGTTTCGGAGGTAAGTGTCTGCAACCCCTGGAAAGACACGCTGCGTTACGAGATATATTATACAACGAAAGGTTGCCATGCAAACTATAACCAACTAAGCAAAAAGGCATGTTCTAGTACAATTTCGTGAACACAATTCCATGATACTATGGTGTTCTTGGCTTATAAGAAAAACATTTTAGCAATAAATATTTATTTCCATATATATAAACAAAAGGAATTTACACGAGTTGATTAGATATTACATGCAAAACATGCATGTTCTCTCGTTGTAGTGCCGTATCTCATTTGCCTCTTAGGCCAATCAAGCTTTGCACAACACATGGGTCTGCCAGCGTTGTAAGGTCGCCTGCACATATTCAGGGTAATGAGATGCACAGAAAGGGAATGAGAAGTGGGGCAATAGAAGGGATGATGAAAGGACTAAAGAGTGTGGACTAGCATGATTCCGCATTCTGACACTTACCAAGTGCTTCGATGTCATTAGCAGCTATCTTGCGCAATACGCGGCGCATGATCTTTCCAGACCGCTGCTCAAGCAAAGAAATGGAAGAAGTTAGTGTTTCAAAGTAGCCAATGAAACAAACGCCAGCACCTGCTACTGCAGTGGATGCTTACAGTCTTGGGAAGGCCTGGAGCCCAGTGGATTACATCAGGGGCAGCGAATGCCCCTATATGCTGACGCACTGCTGACTTGAGCTGCGCCCTCACCTCGTCAGACTGCCCAATGCTGGTAGATGAAGTGCAGAGCAGACATGGAGTTATAAAGAAGTGAAGTCCAGGAAAGGTACAAAACAGTAGGTAAGGAGCAAACTGTGGTGAAGATTTGGGGCCATCCAGTCAAGTGCTTACCCTTCCATGAGTGTGACAAAGGCGTAAAGCCCTTGCCCCTTAATGGGGTGTTCATATCCCACCACTGCTGCCTGTAGTGGGGATAGTGAAGCGAGGAACAAATGCGTACGCAGTGGCATAAAGAAAGGTTGGAAAGTTGTGCAAGAAGTGTTTGCAAGATAAGGTCCAACTCTGCACAAAATGTCAGGCACCATCCTCTCTTGTACGACCTCCTAATCTGAAGTCTCATGCAGCTGCCTTCACCCATCCGTCCACCCTCTGTTGCGCCTGCCCGTTACATAACGACTCAGAAGTTTGTGCCTCTCTCTCTCACCTCAGCGCAGATGTCATGGGCTACAAGCGCACTCTCCACCTCTGCTGTCCCAATGCGGTGCCCACTGCAAGAAGGCAGGGGAGGGCGGTGAGATGAGGGAGGAGAGAAAGAAGGGCACAGCACAGCTGGGCTTCAACTAGAAGGACACGTGGGACATGCATGGGGGAACTGGGGCGTGTGTTAATCCGTGTCGCAAGCATTTGTGCTGCAATGTGAAACATAGGCGCCCATTCACCTGACATTGATGACATCATCCACCCGGCCTGTGATCCAGTAGAAGCCATCTGCATCCCTGCGACAGCCGTCCCCGGAGAAATAGTAGCCCTGAGGGTTGTGGCAAGGTAATGCGGTGCGGAGGAAATGGGTGAGGACACGTGGAGGAAACAAGTCGAGGCCCGCCCAGGTATTTGGGAATGATTGAGCAAGACATGGGAGAGAATTGTGACAGTTGATGGTAAGTGAGGGGAATGTTCGGGGGGTTGTATGGGAAGGGTGCAGAAGAGAGTACAAGGAAATGTTGAAACAGGAAAGCAGGTGCGGGGCATACCGGGAAGGGGGCGAAGTGGTTGGTCTCGAACCGAGCATGGTCGCCCACAACGGTGCGCATCATGCTGGGCCATGGGCGCTTGATGCACAGCAGCCCTGCCACTTCCTCGCCCTCGCCTGCGGCTATCTCCCTGCCCTGCTCGTCCAACACCACTGGCTCCACGCCAAAGAAGGGCAGCGTTGCACACCCGGGCTTTAAGGGCATGGCGCCTGGGAGAGGCGTGATCTGAGAGGGTGAGGGGAGAAGGGAGGGAGGCAAGGGGGTTAGGGGCGTGTGTGTTTTTGTGTGTGTACGCGCGTGCATGTGCGAATTCATGCATGCATGTGTCTGTATTCTCTTGTTTGCCTTGGGAAGCACCCCAACAACCCATTCATCGTGTGGCCTGCTCACCATGATAGCGCCTGTCTCTGTCTGCCACCAGGTGTCAACGATGGGGCAGCGCCCCCTTCCCACTGCAGAGTGGAACCAGCTGGTGAGACAAGGGAGAGAAATGGGGGAGGAGGGGAGGGAGGGGCAGCATGGAGAGGCGATAACGTGAGGGACGGAGGTGCAGAAAGTGTCCCATGGTGCACGGCTGTGCAGTGTATGGTGCATTCATGGGACATGCTGTATGGGTTCTTACCGCCATGCCTCAGGGTTGATGGGCTCGCCCACGCTCCCCAACAGGCGCAGAGACGCCATGCTGTACTTGCCGGGCCACTGCCAGCACAACGAGGAGGGGCAGGGGCAGGCGCAGTTTGGGGCCGGAGAGGTTGGTACATCACGAGGGTTGGGAGGAAGCAAAGGCGACATAGCAGAAAGGATGGTGAAGGTGGGGGGGGGAGAGCAGTGAGGAAGAGATGGAGGGCTCACCTGGTCGCCGCATCGCATGAGAGGGCGCGGATGGCCGTGGGCGCCGTGTAGAAGACAGTCACCTTGTACCTGACGGAGCGAGGCGAGGAGCGAGGGCAATGAACAGAGCATGGGCAACGCACGCACAGGGAGAAGCACACACGAGCGAGTTAGTCCCGAGATTTGAAACAAAAATCCAGCTTCAATCCAGAGAACACACAGGGCCCTTTCCTTGCTTCACCTCCCCCCATTCCTCTCCCTTCCCATGAACCGCCATCCTCCCTCCCCCATCCTCCCCTTCCCCCCACTCCCCCTCCCACCGTGCACGCACTTATCAACGACGTCCCAGCAGCGGCCAGCGTCAGGGTGCGTGGGCACGCCTTCGAACACCACCATGGACGACCCGTTCAGCAGCGGCCCGTACGCGAGATACGTGTGCCCCGTGATCCACCCGCAGTCCGCCGTGCACCAGTACACATCATCCTCATGATGGTCGAAGATGTATTTGAAGCTCGTGCCCGCGCCGACCATGAATCCGCCCGTGGTGTGCTGCACGCCCTTGGGCTTGCCGGTGCTGCCGGATGTGTAGAGCAGGAAGAGCGGGTCCTCGCTCTCCATCCACTCCACGGGACACGTGTCGGGCTGGAGACGCACCGCGTCCTGCCACCACACGTCGCGCGACGGCTCGAATGGGACGTGGGAGCGCTGATGGGATGGGGGGAGACGACGGCGGGAGACGGGTGGAGGATGGGAAAAGGGGACATTGATCAGGGTTGTGAACCTTTGCAGATGCATGTGTGCAAGTGTGCCTCATAGTAAGTGCGTGGGTTTGTATACGTGCGTGTGCGCGCGCCCGTGTGCGCGTACGAATGCGGCGAGGCAAGACACACCAAATTCACCTCCTCCGCGCCATACCTGCTTGGCGAGGTCGTTATCGAACACCAGCACCGTGCTGGGCTCCAGGCGCGCGGCGCCGCACTGCGCGACGGCCTCATCGACGATCTTCTTCAGCGCGATCAGCTTCGTCCCGCGCATCACGGCGGACGCCGTCAGCACGACGCGCGAAGCCGAGTCCGCGATGCGCCCCGCGAGCGCCTCCGCGGAGAAACCCGCGAACACCACCGAGTGCACCGCGCCAATGCGCGCGCACGCGAGCATGGCGGCGGGGAGCTCGGGGACCATGGGCAGGTAGATGGTGACCACGTCGCCCTTGCGCACGCCCACGCTCCGCAGGTAGTTGGCGATGCGGCACACCTGCGGCAGCGCAGCCATGCAAGGAAAAGTATGTTAGGTGGCACGGCACGTGTGAGTCAGACGTCGACATGCCACCGTCGGCTGATCCTGGCGTGTCTCTCGTCGGAACTCGACATTGCGAGCCGGCAATACCACGACAGTCGTACAGACGACGCCAAGAACTCATTTATTATGAACATAAAGTGCCATGATGGCTCGCAGCGCGCAGCGCACCTGAGCCAGCAGCTGCGAATACGTCCACTGGCCCGACACGCCCAGGTCGTTGCCCTCCCAGAAAATGGCGACCTTCTCGCCGCGCCCCGCCGCCACGTGGCGGTCCACGGCATTGTAGCAGAGGTTGGTGCGGCCCCCCACGAACCACCTGATGTCCACGGCACCTTGACGCACGTCCATGTTGCCCTCTTGCAGCACCTGGAGGATATTCGAGGTACGAAGAAAGAATACTGGTTTTCGTTGAGCTGATGCTTTGGTTCGGAATGCGTGTTACTTTAAACGGCATAGACTGCTACCGCAGTGATTCAACGTCAACAAGAAATCACAACTGCTGGTTTTATGGCAGGATGAGACCAGCGACGGAATGCAATGAGGCGACGCACCTCCCACGGAGTCTCCCAGTGGTACTGCGCCGACATGGCGCCCCAGAAGGCCTCGGGATCGTCGAGCGACTGGCGGTACATGGCGTCGTACTGCGCGCGCGACTTGACGAGCGCGCGCTCCACGAAGCTGTCGAGCGGCTCGACTGGCTGCTCTTCCTCCGTCACCGCCTCCGCTGCCGCCGTGTCGAAGTCCAACATGTTGCTGCTCTCCGCGCTCGCTGATCCTTTATCGCCCAAGAGCTTCCCCGCCATGGTCTTAAATTTGATGACGATCCTCAATCAGTGGGTGGAGGGTCTTGGAGATGACGAGTAGATTGCTGAGCAGGTTTCGATGGCTGCTTATATCCCGCTCGTGCCTTGGTAAGCTATTTTGCCAACTAGAAGCAAATAATCACGGTCGAGGGGCTTGTCTAAAACTCGCTGAATGAATGTAGGAGTTGTCCTTCCTATTTCAACAGATTAATCGAAACGTCCTTCCTACATGTTATTTGAGGTCATCCAGGTGTTTTCTCTGGGCAATGTTCTAAACGATTTCACAATCAAGAATTACCCTCAGTTACCATTCTGCCACCACCGCACCAGCAAATCGCCGCCATCACATGGCCCTAGCGTGGAGAGAACGTTAGCCGTTCGATCATCCAGCACATCCATAGAACTTCTCGAATACAGTACAGCCCTTGCTTGAACTGGTGGTGTCACTGGTGTGGTGATGCGAAACATCAGCGTCTCGGGGTTGCCCCCCACCACCTCAGGAGATCGTCAACTTTCGTGCGTGCGTTTTGTGTACGCGATGTTTGCTTCCGAAGTGTTTCGATAGGATGAATATAGGTGTAACATGCATTGTATTCACCATTTCGATATGTTCATGATGCCCGTGAAAATGGCTAACCACTATTGCCAGAACCCATAGATTTGGGAAATTTTACAGGCAGTCACAATTTTGCCCGTTTTATCACGTTTGGTCACAGGGGTATCACGAACAGTCACAGTACAGTAGATTTCTATCGCGGGTGATCACAGTGCTATCACGGATGGTCACACCTCGCCCCGAAAAGCTATCATGTTTGGTCACTCGTTGAAACGATCGATAGAAAGTTGAAACTACTCAAGTCACTGTAGGGATTCAAGGAAAGTTCTCTCGCTCGCGCCGTTTTGTCCGTAGTATTACGAAATAGTTTCGCGACAACTCACGTTACTCGTTAAAAACATCTGCAATTTCTTGTTACTATTCGATTGTCCACTGTTCGATTGCTGCATAATGTCCCTAAGAATATCACTTTTAGACTGGTGAAACTCGAAGGCTCTTTTCTGTTCCCAAGACAAAAAAAAAAACTAAAACCCATTCGGATGGGATTTAATTCGGGATGCATCAACCCTAAACACCTTGTCGCATGGTGTTTAGGGTTGATGCCTCCCGAAAGACGTGCCATCCTATAGGGGTTTATTTTTTTTCTTCAGTCCCCTAAATGTCAGGCCAGAATCATGCGCGAGGTAACAAACAATCAAGATTGGGATTCCCGAAAATCTTTACAGTGTCTTTTGTGGTTTCAAATGAATTAGGGAAAATATGCCATTTGTAACCATCATGGGACTCGATAACATTTCTGGTAAAAAAATAAAGGGTACGGTCACTACAAAAGGTGTTTTCACGCGACTGATAAAACTTTTCACGTAATCAGTCACTATCAAGTGGTAGAAAAAAAACGCGAATGGTCATAGATGAAACTTCCGCCAAAACAAAATGAAACCCCAAAAGAACCTGGATGCATTTTCGGATGAATCAACCCTAAACACGTAACTCGCCAGATGTTTAGGGTTGATCCGTTCCCAAACCGCATCCGATTCCGATTGGGTTTTAGTTTTTTAGAAGTTAGCATATTGGTTGGGCGCGAGCGGGAATTTTGTTGAGTTTCAAGTTTTTTTGGCGGGAGTTACATGTGTGACCATTCGCGTGATTTTTTACCTGTTGTTAGTGACTGAATCCGTGACCCCACTTACCAAACCCGTCAGAAAACCCGATACATTGACCGTACGCGTTTTGTTTTTACCATTCACGCTATCGAGTCCCAAGTTGGTTACTTATGGCATACTTTCCCAATGAATTATGATCGTTTCATCGAGTGACCAAACGTGATAGCTTTTCGGGGCGAGGTGTGACCATCCGTGATAGCACTGTGATCACCCGCGATAGAAATCTACTGTACTGTGACTGTTTGTGATACCCCTGTGACCAAACGTGATAAAATGGGAAAAGGTGTGACTGCCCGTATAATCAGATTTCCTCTTCTCATCGAGTACAACAGATGACTGAAGGGAATACCCTCGAATTTGTCGCTGTCGCTCCTGACCTTATTTTAGTGACCAATCACGGAGACACAATTCAGAAAGAAGAGCTTCGCTAACCAGTGATGCACATGCAGTTCCACCTCGCGAATTCGCCCGATTGACTGGACGCTGGCAGGCGACAATTCTCGTTGTTTCGGTCAGCCAATCAGACCCCATCTTGGGATGTTCGCGCCTGGGGTGTTGGCGAGGCGAGTGTGAAGCCACGGTGCAGTCGTAGCCCAACCCAACACCGAAGTCACATTCGCCATTCCATGGGAACTCCACAGACAAATCACCCGACCCGACTGACTGAAACACTTCCCTAGCTGACCAAACCGAAGGAATGGCTCCTCCCGAGCCGACGGCTAGCGGCAACTAGCAGACAGCATACAGTACTACCATTGTACGCTTTCTGTAGCGGATTCCAGACTCACTGAATAACGCGTGCAGAAGCTGTGGACTTGAGTTCTCGACTCTGTTCGCCATGGGCCTGTTAGCGGACCTGCTTCAACCGCTATACCGTGGCTGGGCATTAACCGTGCTTCTTGCTGCTGTTGCCTACTCGTTTGTCCTCTCTCCTTACTACGCCAAGCAGGTGCTACACCGTCTACTGCACAGTCGTCCTCCAAACTCCACCCTTTCACAGTGAAAATCCATCCGGACCTCTCCTGTCATCATTAATTCGGTCAGGCTCCATGCGTGATGAGCCACTGCATGCACATATTCGAGCTTGCTTCGTCATTGTGCTCCATTCCTCCCCTCTCACTCCTCCCTTATCGTACTCTCCATGCTTCGTACAGGCGGCACTGTCCTGCAGCCTTCACGACTTCAAGGATTTCGTTCTCGTCAGCTCTCGTGTCGTCACACCCAACGGAGTCATCCCCGCTGCTAGTAGGAACCCCTCCGTAACTTCAATTCCCCGCGTTGCTCCAATTCCCCTACTCGTGTGTCTTTTTCCCGCTTGACATCCACGCCTCCACCCACTTCCTTCCATCCTGTGTTCCTGCTGACGTTTAGAATTCATGTTTTATTCTTCGTTCTCTTTTCCCACCGCTCTCCCGTGGTCGCAGTCACTGTCCGCGACGGCGTCATCACAGCCGTTCTGGAAGGCACAGCTGCAGAATCTCGACCGTCCGGCTTACCCGTGCTGGACTATGGTGATGCTGTGATTTCACCTGGCCTAGTCGACGTGTACGTAGCACAATGATCACCTAATCGTCATTCCCGGTCCTTCGCTCCTCTATCACAGGATGGTTCCTTCATTCTCCTCACCTCGTTCTTGATTGCATTAATACTTTTAACTTTGGCGACTGTCTCTTTCCCATCTCTCCTCTCAATCTAGCGTTTACTCCGTTCTCCTGCCTGCGACGCTGGACGTTCCCTGTCTGTCTGTGTGGTCCCCCTTGTTTTATTCCTGCTTCAGCCATGTTCACCTGAACGAGCCTGGTCGGGAGGAGTGGGAGGGCTTTGTTACAGGCACACGAGCCGCTGCCGCTGGTGGGTTTGCACACGTTGCGAAGGCGAGAATGGGTAGAGACGTGGGAATCGGGAGCTTAAGGGGTAATTAGGGCCGTGTAAATTCAATTAGCAGCTGGTGATGCTCGGGATTGGATAGCTTTGGACTGCATTCAGACACATATCTGACTCTTACAGCATATGGCAGCTGCTCATCCCCTCACGTGGCCTGTTGGTGGTGGTGATGGCTGGTGACCTTGCAGGTGGTGTCACTGCGTTGGTGGACATGCCTCTCAATTCTTACCCCACCACCACCACCATTGAAGCGTTTGCAATGAAGGTGAGGAAGCAACGAACAGGACCCCTTCCTCCCTCCACAACCCACAGCAGCTTCTCCTACCCGCTTCCCCCCCTGTTCTTTTGTTTCTGAATGTTTCCATCTTCCTTTATAGTGAATCCTGGCACTGGGATAGAGCATGCCAATCCGAGCAGTATATGGCCAAAATCGACCCATGCGCTAGCAATCCCATGTGTGTGCATGCCACAAAGTCGTTCTCTCTGACCTACACTATCTCACGAACCTTTCTTTTATTGTGTCCTTTCATCCAACCCGCCTTCTCCCCTCTAACACTCGCCTTCTCTGCCTTCCTGCCCCTACCCCCCTCTTTGCACATCCTCGTCCTATCTGTGCATGTGCGCCAGTACAAGGCGGCTGAATCTAAGATTATGGTGGACGTAGGTGCGTGAATGATTCCGACTTATTCTTATCGTCACCACATTCAACCTTTCACTCACTATCCTCCTCAGTTCAAGACCTCCATCTGGTATCCACCCCTTCCCACCGTCTGGTCGATCTCATACCCTCCCTCCCTCGCATGTGGTCCGTGGGTGCAGGGTTCTGGGCTGGCCTGGTGCCAGAGAACGCCAACGATCCTCACCAGCTGCAACGCCTGGTTGATGCTGGTGTACTGGGATTCAAGGTGAGCTGCTCACTGCATTGATGAGAGGCGTGTATTGTTCATGTCAGGGAACTGAGGACAGGGATTAATGAAACTTCTCCAGTTTGTGTCGTATGCTGCTACAGGCAGAAAGTATGTATGACATTCCTTACCTCTGCCGTTTAACCCCATTCTCCCTCTGTCTCTGTTCTTTTTCTGCCTCCCCACAGTCCTTCATGTGCCCATCAGGCATCAACGACTTTCCGCATACCAACTCCTCCCACTTTGAGGTATAAATCGCTCTTGCCTCATGCTTATCTCGGATCCTCCTGTGCCATACCGTCATTCTAGATTCGGATTTCCAGTTTTACAAATATGTTTGTTCCACCTGTTTTGACTCTGAATTATACCTTCCCTTTCCATTCACTGCGTCTCTTCATTTGAGACTTGCTTCAGCTCACTGTTTGTGGCCTCACAACCTTCCTTGTGCTCAGGGCTCCCCACGTCCCCTCTCTTCTGCTTTCCCTCCACAACCATCCCCTTCCATCTGGCACATGTCTCAGAGCGCCCTACCCGTCCTGGCTAAAGCCAAGCTGCCTCTGCTGATTCACTCAGAAGTGGTTGTTCCCGAACCTGACTCCTCTGCACCTGCCTCTCACCCTAGCAGCAGCAAACACAGCAGAAGTGATGATAGCAGTGACAGTGGCAGCAGTAGTGATGCAGAGGAGGGGCCTATCATTCGCCCTGTGGTGGGAAGTGAGGGGATTTCTGATGATGGGGCCGGGAGCAGGGAAAGGACGGAGCCAGAGAAGAGTCATGGAGACCCACGGGTGTATGCAACCTACGAAGCTTCCAGACCTCCCAGCATGTAACAACTTCCTCCCCACCTCGTCGTCACTCTTTCCGCGTCGTCGTTCTTACTCTCGTCCACGCAAGCAACCTCTTATCTTCCGTACTTTCAGCTCCCGAAGCAGCATCTGTTACCTTCCGACCTCCTCCCTCTTCCTGCCACCTGACATTTCTACAGGGAGCGTGAGGCGATCGCTCAGGTGCTGAGAGTGGCGCAGAAGACAGCAGCTGGGCAGCCGTGGGAGGGTGCACGGCTGCACATCGTTCATCTCGCTGACGGCCTCTCTGTGCCCACCATCCAGGTGTGTTGCCGTATGACTTCTCGTATCTGACTTCACGCATGAACATGGTTCATATGCTTGCATTCCTGAATGATCAGATGTGCCTGTGTGTGCAAGCGTGCTTAGCCTCCCCACGGTGATTGTTTATCCTCCAGCTCAACTCCTCTCCTCCCACCCCTACACTCTATTCTATCTCTCTTTCCTGTCTCCTGCACGCATGCGCTCTCACAGGCAGCCAAGGCAGCAGGGGCAGCAGTGACAGTGGAGACATGTCCGCACTACCTTGCCTTTGCATCCTCTGACGTGGCACCTGGGGACACTCGCTTCAAGTGCGCCCCTCCCATCCGCAGTGACAGCAACCGCCGCATGCTATGGCAGGCACTCATGGTGCGTGGGTGGAATTGACTGTGGGGTTTTCCGGGTTTCATCACTACAACAGGCGGGTAGGGTGTGTGAGAGAACCAGAAAAGGGTGGACAGAGCCAGGTGAGCTGGGTGACATGGTGAGCAGTGAGCTACATGGTTGGCGGACAAGTGAAGCCCACTAGACATTCAATCAAGCCTGTCAACTAGCTGTCTGGATTGTTCTGGGCTGACCTACTATGCAGACTAACCCAGTCCAAGTGTATTCTTAAATGCTGAAGCTTCTTCCCCTATCGCTCTCTTTGGTGCTTGGAAATGGCCATGATTGACGACCCTGAGGGGGGTGTGCATGCCTTGCAGGATGGGGGCATTGACATGCTTTCCTCGGACCACTCGCCCAGCCACCCGTCTCTCAAGAACCTGGATACAGGCAACTTCCTCACTGCATGGGGCGGCATTGCAGGCCTGCAGGTAACACCATTATCTGATTGTGCACCTTTTTTTAGTGGTGATTGGGAGGTTGCACTGGCTTGCCTCCTCCCCTGCACTTGATGAGTACCACTGCCATGCACATGACCACAATTGACAAGGATGCTTATCATCAGCCTTCATACACAGCCTCTATTGCCCTATACCTGGCCTGGGGACCTCACCTCCTTGCATGCCCGTGTTTGCAAACTTCTGCATGGTGGTGCCTGTTCCAGCTAAGCCTGCCAGTGACATGGACGCATGGCCAGGCATTCAACATGTCCCTCGTGCAACTGGCGCGCTGGTGGAGTGAGGCACCCGCACAACTTGCAGGACTCCAGTCAAAGGTAAGAAAGCATACATCTTCGCATTCCTGTCCTTCTTAACCCCATGATTCATCTCCGTCTTGATGCTTTCTGTAGGGATCAATTGCACCTGGCAAGGATGCCGACCTTGTGGTATGGGATCCACAAGCCTCTTTTACAGTGGGCGTGGATGTTAAAGTGTTCCACCGCCACGCGGTGACACCGTACAACAGCAGCACACTGCAAGGGCGCATCATGGGCACGTATGTGCGAGGAAACCTCGTGTATGCAGGGGACAGGCATGCAAGCAAGGCATGTGGGGTAAGATTACGCAAGTAGCCGTTGCTATATGTCTTGTGCTTTATGTTGTTATTATAGTCGAATTTGTCCTGGAATGTACGTCGCTGGTAATTCAGCCATGGTTTTCAAACTGTCATATAAACTTGAATCTGGGAGTGCACTTGAGATTTAGTGTTTGCACCTACCCGATGACTGTATCGAACAGTTTTTTGCAACTCCGCCAGTTTCAGCTATCCCTGAATGGCGCCTGAAACAGCTGGTACTGTAGCTCCAACGTTTCACCAGCCCCACGGCCTGCCAATCAAACCCTCTGGTTTGCGCCAGTGGAGCAACCGTTTCAGGCAGGTGTTCCCCTGTACCCTGCCTTCCACTCCACCCCCCTCAACCACTCCCCACATGACATGTGAACGCCACTGACTCTCCTCCCGGCCGTCTGATTGGTCTGTCGGCTGCGCCCTGCAACCGTCGAACGAACAGCAGATGTTTGTTGTTCTTTAGGTGAAATTCGAACCGTCGATACAGTGAAAAGGAACTCGGAAAACCGTCGATTCTATCAGGCGCATAGTTATCTTTGAAAGAGCTCCCTCGAATGCAGCACAACAACCACATTTTGTGCTTTCGACAGGCGCAGCAGATCTTGTATTGTTGCCTGTAGGCTCTTCTGTATCAATCGAACCACCCAGGCACAAGCATTTCATACTCCTCCGCACCGCACCAAACCAAACTCACATGGGAGTGGAGCAGCAACTGGCCCACGGCAGTACCACCTCCCCTTCCCTCTCTGACCAACCTCAAATCGAACCAACATCGTTGCTCAATGTTGTGCCTAGCCAGTTGCGTCGAGGTTATCTCGAATGCCAGCTGCATATTGGTAGTTATATCTTTTCCGAAATCATTGCTGGTTATAGATAGTAGTAACTTCGCGCATACTAGCTGAAGGTCATGATCGATAAACACTCTTTCCTACACCAAGAACGCGCACATACTTTCGGCACCACGGACCGTCTCATCATCGGCCTACATTTCTTTAGGGGGGATTGCGAGGTTTTTGTTTATGTTCTAATGCATACATAGTAGATTCCACAGGGCTCAGCAGCATTAGGGCTCAGCAAACTACCGCCTTTGCAACCGGAAATTTCATTACTGTTTCCCGTGACGTAACTTGACACGATGAAAAGCAGCAGTCATTGTAACATTTCCCGCTGCGATGCCGACTTGCCGAAATCCAAGGCACCTGTGAAATCCGAGAGCGTGATAATCGGCGACCGGCATTTGGTACTATACGTGTCCATTCTCAGTATTATCACATCCGCTGTCGTTACAGGAATCGTGCTTACGCTCCCCATGACGTCGTCCTTTGTCACCCGCGCTATCCGCGCATCGACCACGCGGCCGGCGGAAGGAGCGCCGGTGGCGGATTTCGGGGAGGCTGTGCGCGTGGAACGCCAGAGACAATGGGGGGAAGCGGAAGATGACACTATTCGGAGGGGCGCTTCCGCGGGTGCAGAAGCGCAAGACGGAAATGCGCAAGAAAACGAGCAGACGCAGAATGACCCGAATCTACAGAAAGAAGATGACGGCGCGGGAGGGTCGGTAGAGGCGGGAGGGGTGGAGAGCGAGGAGGGGGAAGAGGCGGGAGTGGAGGCGGGGATGATAATGGAGGTGAACTCTGGTGACGAGGACGCAGCGCGCATGGCGGCGAATCTCACGGTGTGGGAAGAAGACTCGTGGGATGGCGTGCAGATGATCGTGCATATTAAGGTATGTGATGTGGAATGTGATGTGATGTGGAATGTGATGTGATGTAATGTGACCCGTTACGGAACAGTAGTTAAGGGCAAAGACCAACGTTACGAGAGAAGGAAGAACCACACTCAGAGTGTCGGGCTGCAATGAGCACTGCACTGCACGCCGCAGCACCATGCAGCACCGCACTGCACGTAACACAACAACCCCGTTTTCCGGGCCCCACTCCCCTCCCCTTCCCCTTCTCCAGGAGCACACGCTGCCCGCGTGCCTGCTGGTGCTGTGCCAGGCGCAGGCGTACGCGGCGCTGCAGCGCATGGCGCTGGGCGTGCTGTGGGACACGCGCCTCTCGCACCTGCTCCCCCGCGTGCACCTGCGCGACCTCTTCCTCCCGCCCAACCTCCCCCTCCGCACGCGCCTCCCCCCCGGATGGGCGGGCGTGCAGGGCGGGAAGGTTGTGGCGGAGCGCGGGGGGAAGAAGGAGGAGTTTCAGTCACTGAGGGTGAGTGGCGCAAGGGAAAGGGGGAGGAAGAAAGGGAGAAAACGGGGAACGGAGAGAGAAAAGGGCGGAGAACTGGGAGGGAAGGGGGGGGGGGGGGGGGGGGGAAAGAGAGGGGGGAGAGAGGGGAAGGAGGGGAGGAGGGGAGGAGAAAAAGGAATGACAGGGACAATGCTTGGTAGGTAGAATAAATAAACGCATGGGGCAGTCTACCAAGGAATGAATAAGCAGGTGATCCATCTCTGTTTCTTCCCCCCATCCTGTTTGTTTCCTGCCGTGACGTGCTTGTAATTTGAAACAGTCCTGCTTGCTGCATCATCCCCCCAGCCCCACGCCCCTGTTCGTGACTAACCAGTCCGTGTCTCTGTTGTCAGTCCCGCCCCCGTCTCCCATTCCACGTTCCCCCTCCCCCACCCGTGCCCCACCCCCATTCCCCATTTCCTACCCCCCACCCCCTATCCCTCATCCCCTATCCCCCATTCCCCCTTCCCTATCCCCAGTTCCCTTAACTCATGCCCCATTAACCATCCCCCATCCCCTGCTCCCCCATCCCGCATCCCCTATCCCCTATCCCCCATCCCCCATCCCCATCCCCTCCCGCCATCGCCATCCCGCACCAGGTGCGGCTGCAGTGTGCGGATCGGGGGCATCTCCCGCGGCCCTTCCACTCGCCCACCTTCAACCTGCTCGTCTCTCAGGACGCCGCGCCCCTGCTGGTCAGTCACGCACTGCTCACTGCTCGCTGCTCACTCGCCTTCATCTCCCTTCACCCCTACTCGCCTCACTCCCTCTCTCCTTCCTTCATGCTCCCAACCCCCCTTCCTCTCCCCTCTCCACTCTCCCATCGCTCCCTCCCCCCTTCCCCCGGCCATGCATGCCTGGCAGCGGCACGGGGTGAGGGCGTGTCTGCACGCGGTGGGGGTGGAGCGGTGCTACAGGGGCCTGCAGCCCACGAGGCACATCAAGCGCCTGCTGGCACGCGAGAACATCAAGCGCACCAGAGCTTCTGTCGCCGTGCTCATAGAGGTGGGGCTCATACAGGTGGGGGCTCATAGAGGTGGGCGGGGGAAGAGAGGCTGGGGCGCTGGGGTGGATTGGATGGTGGCTGGGGTGGGTGGGGTAAGTTGGGTACGAGAGCTGTGTGCATGCTCAGGCATAACCAGCAGGCCCGATTTTATGGCACAGGAGTTGGGAAGCACGGGGCAAGCTAGCGGTCAGCAGAAAAGGCCCTCCCTCCTTGCTTCATTCTTCCCCTGCCCTGCATTTGTCTCCCACTGCCACTCCCTTCTCCCCACCTTGACCCCAGCTCACCTCCCCGCTTCCCTCTCCCCACTGCCCCAATTCCCTCCCGTTCCCAAATCACCCCTTCCCACACCCCAACAACCACTCCTCTTCCTCGCCCCCAGGACCCGCGCTACAGCCGCATGCGGGTGCCATCCTGCTCCACCCACACCCCGCTCTCCGCATGCACAGTCCGGCGACTACTCGCCTCGTACCTCTCGCACCCCGCCATCGACTTCACCGTCGCAGCAGCCACCGTGCCAGCGCACGCCGTCATAGCAGCCGACTCCTTCCACCCCTCGCGTGCGCCGCACCTGCCCTTTGCCGCGCTCGTGCGTGGGCTGGACTGCTCGCCCTTTGAGGGCATGCCGGGCGGGTGGGAGGCGAGGCTCGGGGCGGAGTGGAGTGTGCGGCGCAAGGGGAAGAGTGACCATGAGTTGACTCTTGCAGAGGCTGTCCGCTGCACTCAGTTCCTGGTGGGCTGCTTGCCTGCCTGCCTGTCCGCCTGCCTGCCTGCCTGCCTGCCTGTCCGCCTGCCTGCCTGCCTGCCTGCCTGTCCGCCTGCCTGCCTGCCTGCCTGCCTGCCTGCCTGCCTGCCTGCCTGCCTGCCTGCCTGCCTGCCTGCCTGCCTGCCTGTCCGCCTGCCTGTCCGCCTGCCTGCCTGCCTGCCTGCCTGATTGATCGACTGGTTGAATCTGATAGGAGCCTTGCTGTTTCATCAAGTGTTGTGCCTGTGAATTTAGTCTCCTGTCACAGATTCTCCTCTCACTTCCAGTCTTCTCTTCCCTTGACCTCCCTCTCTCCTCTCCCCTTCCTCCCTCGCTAACCCCCATGCCAGGCGGCAGAGCTGCTCCTGCTAACAGAGGCGCCCAGTCTGCTCTACTCCTTCCCCTCGCCCACAGTCAACCTCATCATGGCGCGTGCTGTTGCCCGCACGCCCTCCTTCCACCTCATGGCGCCCTCGCTCTGCACCGCTCCCTGCCCGCCACCGCTGCTCCAGCAGAAGTTCGCCGAGCACATGATCGTTGATGGTGCGTGCTGTGCATCCTGTGGGTGTGTAGGCAACGCCCCGTTTTGAGTCGTTCCAAATCTGTTTACGTCTCGAAATGTCAGCCACCGCTGCTCCAGCAGAAGTTCGCGGAGCACATGATCGTTGATGGTGCGTTTTGTTAGACATTCCCTCATTCCAACCGCTGCTCGCTGGAATGTCTAACAATTCGCACAAGTCCGCCGAGCACATGTTCGTTGATGGTGCGTTGCGTGCAGTTCAGTCTGGCACCTGAGATGAGATGCTGCATCTCATGCATCCTGTGTGTATGCCGGATCGCTTGGGCATGGGATGGGGTCATGCATGCACGGTGGGGTTTATGCGTGTGCATGGAATTGAACATGTGCATGGGATTCTGCACGCATGGACTATGACTGTGCATGGATTGAACGCATGTGCACATCGCCCCCTCCCGCTGACCCTTTCTTACACCATGCTGGCCCTCTCCTTTATACTGGTCCATAGGGGCCGCATGCTTGCTCACAGTCTTCCTCTCCCCGGCTGCCCTCTCTCCCCAAGCAGAGGAGCTGAAGGTGGCGTATTGTGCGCTGCCCAAGGTGGCCAACACGAGCTGGAAGCTCTGGTTCCGCCTCTTCCGAGTCAAGGGCAACGCCACCGCTGCCTTTGGCGTCGCCCCCCCCTCCCCTGACGATGCAAACGCCACTGCTGATGCTTCTTCTGGGGCTGCAGGGGCAGCGGAGAGCAGTGGAGAGGCAGCAGCAGGAGGAGGAGGCGGAGAGGGGGGGTTGAGGCTGGGTGCGCGGGAGTTCAAGGCGATCCACGTGTCGGAGGGCAACGGCATCACGGAGCTGAGTGAGCTGGGCGAGCGCGAGGCCGTGCGGTTCCTGTCGCGCCGGGACGTGCTGCGCTTCACGTTCGTGCGCAACCCGTACACGCGCGTGGCGTCTGCCTTCCTCGATAAGGTCGTCAAGGCCCGCGACTTCCTTAACAACGGCAGCGCTCGGCTGTACTGGGCCCAGGTGCTAATGCAAAGGGGGGGGATGGAAGGAGGGATAGGGAGAGAAGTAGGAGGGGGGGGGAGGAGACGGGGAGTGAGGGGGTATGAGATGGAGAAAGGCATTGTTAGTTTTTCCCATCAGGCTTGTGTGTTTCCGATGTGCATTTCCTTGGCTCATCATGCCTCCCACTCGATCACACCTGCTCCCACACCCGCTCGCATTGCCACTTCTCAGCAACCCACTAGAGTTCACTTTCCCTTCCCCCACTATCCATCCCTCACTCTCTCCCTGCTATCCCCTCCCCCTACATCTCCTGCAGGCGCTGTTCAGCCGGGCACCGCAGTACAGCAGGCTGATGGAGCTGCATCCAGACGGCAGCTTTTCCTTCCCCGAGTTCGTGCGGCTCACAGAGGAAGCGCTGCAGCACCCACCCACCGACAACCACATCGACACACAGGTACGGCACGTGGGACAGGTACGGCACGTGGGACATGTACGGCACGTGGGACAGGTACGGCACGTGGGACAGGTACGGCACGTGGGACAGGTACGGCACGTGGGACAGGTACGGCACGTGGGACAGGTACGGCACGTGGGACAGGCGGGACGGGTGGGACGGGTGGGACAGGTGGGATAGGTGGGACAGGTGGGATAGGTGGGACAGGTGGGATAGGTGGGACAGGTGGGATAGGTGGGACAGGTGGGTCAGGTGGGACAGGTGGGTCAGGTGGGTCAGGTGGGACAGGTGGGTCAGGTGGGACAGGTGGGTCAGGTGGGTCAGGTGGGACAGGTGGGTCAGGTGGGCCGGACGCATGTGCATGTCGCTGTGAGGGGGGTGGGGTGGGTCGTTCTGTGTGCTTTCATGCGTTGGCTGAGTGCACGCCACCCAGTGGTTGAACCAGCCTTTCCTGCCTCCCTTGTGACTGCCTCTCCGATGCGTGTCGTTCCTCCTGGGCAGGTGGAGCTGTGCGCTCTGGACTGGATCAAGTATGACTTTGTGGGTCGGTTTGAGAGCATGATGGAGGGCGTGCAGTGGGTGATGCAGCGCCTGGGCACGGAGCAGTACGGAGTATTTGACAGCGGGCACACGCTGCAGGCCACTGATGCTGACAAGAGAATTGCCCGGCTCTATGACAAGGTGCGTGGGAGAGGCAGGCGAAAGGGTGGGGGAATGAGGTAGCAAGGAGAGAGGGGTGGGGGATCTGCTGGCTCATGCAACTTCTAATCTGAAGTGTGGTAATTGTTTTCTTTCCAATGTGGGCAGGCTACGTTCGACATAGTGACACGAGCATATGCGAGAGACATGTACATCCCATTTAACAATATTGTCTATGAAGCACCAAAGTTGCTGGGAAGAATAAACTCAACTACCTAGCAGCTCGCGTAGATGCTTTTAGGGAAAGGCTCATGGCATTACTCGTTAGTTATATTTTGTACGTATGAACCTTGAGATAACAAGCTGCAATCATCTTGCTTGCTGGATAGGAGGGTGGGCGGAAATATGAAAGTCACGTTTATCACTTGTATATAGTCTTCTCAATATTAATGGAATGCAAGCTTCGAATGTTTGATTTATTATATTACAAGGTCAAGTGTACCTTCTTAGAAGATCAAGCTCAATCACACGCATCCCTGCCGACAAAATCATGTTCCTGACACAGGTCAGGAAAATCGTGTTGAACCAGAAACCCGTTCTATATACCTAAACGCAACCAACTCTCGTCGCTAAAACGTTGCTGACTTTGCTTCAGGTCAGAGAATTCCCGACGAAACAGAATAGTTGAAGGTATTATTTATCTAAGCGTCGCAACTCAAACATGTCTCACCTTCTTCCTGATTCCCCAGTGATACTCCAACCCAGTACTGATCGGGAATCCACTTGATTTCTAGGATTCGGACCCCCATCCAAGTTTCCACCACCATCAACCAAGTGCGAGGACCTCGACCTCGCAAACATTTCAGCTGGTCGCAGTGTCGTTCGCGAAAATAAGGGCAGTTACAGCTCACCTCGTTGTTGGTGTGCAAAGAGCGAAGCCAACTAGCGGACCAAGGCTCTGGTAGCCGTTGCAGGTGTCAGAGGATGTGAGAGGGAGACTCCGATTCCAATCTGCTCCCATCAGATCTTGCTCCCGCTTTTCGTCCCTTACCGTGGCTGCCGCCGCCCTTGGTGCCTGAGACCCATTTCGTTGGCCATTAATCGCCCGCTTTTGCCCTGCTTCCCGCCGAGCCGACAGCGCTGCGTGTCCTTGTTTTATGTCGCGAACCCGACATCTCGAATACCCACCAATCCGGAAGCTATTGACCTTCGATTTCACGGTTTGGGTTAGACTACTCTCCTCAACCAATCCTTCGAAATTCCGTTTAGCCGTTGCGTATTTCGCGGTTCAAGTACGGTTGATATTTTTTTTACACTTTCGAAGAGATTCGAGTGTCGGTAGCCTTGGGGGTTGGTTTGTGGCGAGGACCTCGACGCTTTCGTGCAGCAGCCTCGTTTTGCCTCACTCCAGTCCGCCTGCTTCGAAGTTTGGTGCCATTTTCTCACTCTAGCTTCTCGGTTCGCAAGTTTTCCAGCCAAATCGACCTCGTTCTCTACTCTATCGAGAGCATTCTGTGGAGTTTCTACGGCATTCTCAGTGCGGAATTATACCAGATTTTGATGCTATAAGCCAGAGTTCGCTGTTCGAGTTCTTCCCAGCTCAGCGTCGATTTCCGGAATTTCAAGTAGACATTTCGATTTTCGTGGAATTTCGGCTTTCAACGTCAATTTTCGCTGTTTGTCGGGAACTTTCGCTGTTCCGCGTCGAACTTCGCAACTCCGGTAAAAATAGCTTTTGATCGCATTGTTCATTCCTTGTTTCGTCAGCTTCGCAATTCTCGGTAAAGTAGTTCACTCGTTCATTCGTTAACTCTCGTGTCTCTCGCGACTTGCAGGCGAACGCACAACTATTTCAAGTCGTCAAACATTCCAGCCCGCCAATTGTCGCACTTCGACTTCGCGACTTCGCCATCCGTTACACTCGTCACTAATTTCGTCCGTGATCTCAAGGTGAGCTTTGGACCTCGCTTTCTCTTCCGTGAACTCGTTTTTTCTACTTACCCGCGATTTTCTGTTTCCCTGCGATTCTAACTCCCTGTATCGTCTGACTTTGCAGACGCACCATCCTGAGAGGCTATTCCAGGAAATCGAACAGCATCCCAAGGCATGGACCATTTTCAAGCGTGAACGAGCGGGCGTCATCATGGTCTGCCACGCGCTATGGCGACGGAAGGTAGACCCCTCGCTTCCCTCCTCCTCTCGCTTACTCCGCGTTATCTGCTGTCGTTTTCCCCTGAGTGTGCATTTCTGACAGCGTGGGTGTGATGTGGTGCAGGGAAGGAGCAGTGGCAAGTGGAGAGGCAAGGGTCCCACAGGCGCAAGCAGCAGGGAGAGCGCGGAGCAGAGCGCTTGCACGTGGTCACTGGAGCTGAGAGGCAGCAGCAGTAGTGCCTCCACTCGCCTCTCACTCTCGCCACAGCTAAGTGCCGCGCCGCGCCCTGCCTCTCTGCTCCTCGCTGCTCTCTGCCGTTCATGCTTGCACCCTGCATCCATGCTCGCTCTCTTCCTGCCCTGTGCCCCTCCCAAGAGACCTCCCTCCCCCAAGGTAATAGGTACAGCCTCAGGTATTCGTTTGAGTTTGGTTCAGCTGGTACGAGGTCTCTTGGGTGTGCCACTGCAGCAGTCCATTCATGCACGCATCATTCTTGCACTTGCTGCACTCCTCGCTCTCACTTCACTCCACTCGTCTTTGCTTCTTTCCTCATTGCCCTCCCCACTCCTCTGCACCCCCTTCACTCCCCGGTTTTCTCCTCCCACTCCTCCCTTTCCTCTCTGTGTCCCGATCTGCCCCTTCTCGTCCCAGCAGGTCGCTCACACGGGAGTGGCAGTGGCGGGGGACATGGAATGCACAGGCAGCAGCTGCTCTCCACCCAACCCACCCACAGCTAAGCTAAGTACCCCGCCCTTCCTCTCTTCTCCCAAACCTCGCACTGTGTTGCTTTTCATGTCATGCTTGCACCATGAATCACACTCCCGTTTTCACTGCCGTGTGTCACACCCATGAGACCTCCATCCCCCAAGGTAGAAGGTTTTTTTTTTTTTTTGGTACAGCCTCAGGTATTCGTTTGAGTTTGGTTCAACTGGTACGAGGTCTCTTGGGTGTGCCACTGCAGCAGTCCATTCATGCACGCATCATCTCTGCTCTCACTTCTCTCACTTGTCCTTGCTTCTTTCCACATTGCCCTCCCCACTCCTCAATTCCCGTCCTCTCCTCCCTTCTCTCTGTCTCGATTTGCCCCCTCTCGTCCCAGCAGGTTGCTCACACGGGAGTGGCAGTGGCGGGGAACATGGAGTGCACAAGCAGCAGCTGCTCTCCACCCAACCCACCCACAGCTAAGTACCCCGCCCATCCTCTCTTCTCCCAACCCTCGCACTGTGTTGCTTTTCATGTCGTGCTTGCACCATGCACCACACTCCCTTTTTCACTGCCCTGTGTCACACCCATGAGACCTCCCTCCCCCAAGGTAGCAGGTATCTTTTTCTCTTGGTACAGCCTCAGGTATTCGTTTGAGTTTGATTCAGCTGGTACGAGGTCTCTTGGGTGTGCCACTGCAGCAGTCCATTCATGCACGCATCATTCTTGCACTTGCTGCACTCCTCGCTCTCACTTCACTCCACTCGTCTTTGCTTCTTTCCTCTTTGCCCTCCCCACTCCTCTGCTCCCCCTTCACTCCCCCGTTTGCTCCTCCCTTTCCTCCCTCTGTCCCAATCTGCCCCTTCTCGTCCCAGCAGGTCGCTCACACGGGAGTGGCATTGGCGGGGGACATGGAGTGCACAGGCAGCAGCTGCTCTCCACCCAACCCACCCACAGCTAAGTACCCCGCCCTTCCTCTCTTCTCCCAGCCCTCGCACTGTGTTGCTTTTCATGTCGTGCTTGCACCATGCATCACACTCCCTTTTTCACTGCCCTCTGCCGCACCCATGAGACCTCCCTCCCCCAAGGTAGCAGGTATTTTTGTCTTGGTACAGCCTCAGGTATTCGGTTTAGTCTGGTTCAGCTGGTACGAGGTCTCTTGGGTGTGCCACTGCAGCAGTCCATTCATGCACGCATCATTCTTGCACTTTCTGCACTCCTCGCTCTCACTTCACTCCACTTGTTTGCTTATTTCCTCTTTGCCCTCCCCACTCCTCTGCACCCCCTTCACTCCCCGGTTTTCTCCTCCCGCTCCTCCCTTTCCTCTCTGTGTCCCGATCTGCCCCTTCTCGTCCCAGCAGGTCGCTCACACGGGAGTGGCAGTGGCGGGGGACATGGAGTGCACAGGTAGCAGCTGCTCTCCACCCAACCCACCCACAGCTAAGTACCCCGCCCTTCCTCTCTTCTCCCAGCCCTCGCACTGTGTTGCTTTTCATGTCGTGCTTGCACCATGCACCACACTCCCTTTTTCACTGCCCTGTGTCACACCCATGAGACCTCCCTCCCCCAAGGTAGCAGGTATTTTTTCTCTTGGTACAGCCTCAGGTATTCGTTTGAGTTTGGTTCAGCTGGTACGAGGTCTCTTGGGTGTGCCACTGCAGCACTCCATTCATGCACACATCATTCTTGCACTTGCTGCACTCCTCGCTCTCACTTCACTCCACTCGTCTTTGCTTCTCTTCTCTTTGCCCTCCCCACTCCTCTGCTGCCCCTTCACTCCCCCGTTTGCTCCTCCCTTTCCCCCCTCTGTCCCAATCTGCCCCCTCTCGTCCCAGCAGGTCGCTCACACGGGAGTGGCAGTGGCGGGGGACATGGAGTGCACAGGCAGCAGCTGCTCTCCACCCAACCCACCCACAGCTAAGCTAAGTACCCCGCCCTGCCTCTCTCCTCCTAACCCTCGTACTTGTGTTGCCTTTCATGTCTCGCTTGCATGATACATCAAACTCCCTTCTTTACTGCCCTCTGTCACACTCAAGAGACCTCCCTCCCCCAAGGTAGCAAGCTAGCAGGTACGTGCTCAGATCTTTGGTTTAGTGTGGTTCAGCTGGTATGAGGTCTCTTGAGTGTGCCACTGCAGCAGTCCATTCATGCTTGCATCGTTTCTTCTCTCTCTGCTCTCACTTCACTTACTGTCCTTGCGTCTTTCCTCACTGCCCTCCCCACTCCTCAATTCCCGTCCTCTCCTCCCTTCTCTCTGTCCTGATCTTCCCCCTCTCGTCCCAGCAGGTCGCTCACACGGGAGTGGCAGTGGCGGGGGACATGGAATGCACAGGCAGCAGCTGCTCTCCACCCAACCCACCCACAGCTAAGCTAAGTACCCCGCCCTGCCTCTCTTCTCCCACCCTTCTGTTAAATCGTTCCATTCCTCCGTCATCCCTCGCGTTTCGTTCACGAATCTCGCTTTCATTCAAAACTTAAAGTTATCAGTCCCTGGAAATGGTTTCTGAAAATGGTTTGTGCTTGTGTGCAGGAAGCAGCAGGCGGCATGGGAGGCAGCAGTGAGCGACCCGCGAGCAATGCAGCGAGCACGTGGCGTTCAGTCTCCCGCAACACTGCTGGACGTCCCAGCGGTTCGCCATGGCACTGCCTCTCCCCCTGCGCACAGATAAGTACCCTCGCCCTACTCGCCGTGCTTCCCTGCCTCCACTCTCCATGCCTCATCCCACGCGCCACTCCCCATGCCACCCTAAGGCGAACCTGCAGACCTCCCTGTCTCTTCCCCTAGCTCTGGTCTGCTCTTCCCCTAGCTCTGCTCTGCCCTATCGCCAGCTAGGCGTCTTGTCTTGTCGGCGTCCGTGCGTGCGTCCGTCATGCTTAGCTGTCCGCGTCCGTCCGTCTGAGGTCTGCAGTGTGATCGCCCTGGCTGCCTGCACTCATGCTCACATCGCACTCATGCTCACATCGCACTCATGCTCACATCGCACTCATGCTCACATCGCACTCATGCTCACTTCGCACTCATGCTCACATCGCACTCATGCTCACTTCGCACTCATGCTCACATCGCACTCATGCTCACTTCGCACTCATGCTCACTTCGCACTCACATCTCACCACACCTGCATTACCAATTTCACTCGCACCTCTTGCTGCTGAAGTACAACTCATTCCGCCACGTCACCCCCTCCTTCTCCTCCCCTTCCCCTTCCCCGCTGCCAGGTGAGCGCAAGGCGAGGGGAGGGCAGCAGGCGAGGGGGAGGCGAGGGGGGCGCCAAGGGCGGGCAGCAGGAGGGCGGGCAGCAGGGCAACAGCGCTGGTCGAGGTCGAGGTTGCAGTATCGCCCCGCCACCACACCCCACATGAGCTCGCTCCCCCTCAGGTTCAGGTTCAGGTTCAGGTTCAGGTGCAGGTGCAGGTTCAGGTGCAGGTTGGTAGTGGCTCTTGTGGGGTTGTGAGTGGCATCACATGCGTCGTCGTTTCTGCTGATGCACATTTGTCCGACGCTCTCTTCAGTTGCTATCGCTCTTTCCTGCCTGCCTCCCACTCACTCTTTCTCCCTTCTCCTCCCCACCCTGCCCTTCCTGCCCTGCCAGGCCTGCACAAGCCAAGGGGAGAGCAGCAGGCGAGCAGCAAGCAACGGGAGGGCCAAGGCGGCAGCTGGAGGGAGGGCAGAGCCTCATCAACGGTCGAGGTTGCAGTATCGCCCTGCCACCACACTCCACATGAGCCCGCTCCCCCTCAGGTTCAGGTTCAGGTTCAGGTTCAGGTTGGCAGTGGCTCTTGTGGGGCTGTGGTTGGCGTCACATGCACCGTCGTTTTTGCACTCGCACTGCTGCCAGAGTCTTCTAGTTTTAAAGAGCCATTCCCTCCCAGCTGCCTCTTACCATCTCTCTATCTCTCTCTCCCTTCCCCTCTGCCTCGCAGGTCCGTCCCTTCAAGCCCCGCTCGCCCTGCCCACTCTCCATGGAAGCACCCCCTCCGCCTGCACCACACAATCAGCTAGGTACCCGTTCCACCACGCCCGCACCCTTGCCTGCAGAATCTTTCGTTTGTTTCGTCTGCTTTGCACCATCTTCTTGAAACATCGCCACTGGTCGTTTGCTACAGACCCCCACTCTTCAGGTAACCCCCTCAGGTGCAGGTAACCCTCTCAGGTGCAGGTACGCCCCTCAGGTTCATTCTCAGGTGCTCTTAAGTCTGTAGCTTGTGGCCGTGCCTCCAACAGTGGCTCTCCTTCCATTCTCTTGCGCTGGATTTGAAGTCACGGTTTCCCATTCAGCTTGATCACACCACTGTACCACTGTGCTCTGACTAGCTCTGTGTGTGCGCATTGCAGGTGGCGGGGAGGGGTGTGGGGTCAACACCGACGCTCCCTCACGCCCCTCCCCTGTGGCCGTGCAGGGGCGCACACGGGAACGCTGGGAGGAGGGCTGCAGTGGAGGGAGGCAGGTGGTGGTGCTTCAGCTGCCTTGAGCTCGCCCTCACGCCACGAGTTAAGTAACCCTCCTCCATGCCCTCGCCCTCCTTGCACCTCATCTCGTGTATGCTCTGCTGTGATTTCGTTTGCTGGTTGTGCACCCTTCCCTTTGAAACAATGTCACTGGTCGAGCGCGGTTCACATGCTACAGACCCCCACTCTTCAGGTAACCCCCTCAAGTGCAGGTAACCCTCTCAGGTGCAGGTAACCCTCTCTGGTGCAGGTAACCCTCTCAGGTGCAGGTAACCCCCTCAGGTGCAGGTAACCCTCTCAGGTGCAGGTACGCCCCTCAGGTTCCTTTTCAGGTGCTCTTGGGTCTGTATCTTGTGGCCGTGCCTCCAACAGTGGCTCTCCTTCCATTCTCTTGCGCTGGATTTGAAGTCACAGTTTCCCATTCAACTTCATCACACCCACTGGCTCTGACTAGCTCTGTGTGTGCGCATTGCAGGTGGCGGGGAGGGGTGTGGGGTCAACACCGACGCTCCCTCACGCCCCTCCTCTGTGGCCGTGCAGGGGCGCACATGGGAACGCTGGGAGGAGGGCTGCAGTGGAGGGAGGCAGCTGGTGGTGCTTCAGCTGCCTTGAGCTCGCCCTCACGCCACGAGTTAAGTAACCCTCCTCCATGCCCTCGCCCTCCTTGCACCTCATCTCGTGTATGCTCTGCTGTCATTTCGTTTGCTGGTTGTGCACCCTTCCCTTTGAAACAATGCCACTGGTCGAGCGCGGTTCACATGCTACAGACCCCCACTCTTCAGGTAACCCCCTCAGGTGCAGGTAACCCTCTCAGGTGCAGGTTCGGCCCTCAGATTCCTTTTCAGGTGCTCTTGGGTCTGTAGCTTGTGGCTGTGCCTCCAACAGTGGCTCTCCTTCCATTCTCTTTCGCTGGATTTAAAGTCACGGTTTCCCATGCAACTTGATCACACCACTGTGCTCTGACTAGCTCTGCGTGTGCACATTGCAGGTGGCGGGGAGGGGTGTGGGGTCAACACCGACGCTCCCTCACGCCCTCCCCTGTGGCCGTGCAGGGACCCACGGGGATGGGAGGCAGGCAGCAGTGCAGCAGCTTGCAGTTGGTGCCACGAGGGAGAGTATTGTGGCGGGCTGGCCTCTCAAGGTGTGTTACCTCCCTCCTTGGGGTGCATTTGTTGCTGCAGTTCTCTCTGCATTTTGCCATTCTTGTCTTTGTCAGCTTATGCGTTTTTCTGTCTACTTTAGTGTTTCTGTTCATGTCACGTCACTAACCTTCTGCTCTTTCTCTCCTGTCCCCCTCACCCTTTTCCGCCCGCCACCAGGTCGCTTGGCATCAAGCGAAGAGTGCAGCAGAGGAAGCAGAGTAGCAGACCGGCAGCAGCAGTTGCAGCAGCAGAAGCAGCAGCGCAGCAGCAGTGGGGGGTGGGGGGCTGGAGAGGAGGCTAGGCTAGACATGGTGTGAGCGAGGTGTGGTAAAAGGTTTGGTATGGTGCCAGGTCAGGTGTGGTGATCTGATTTTTCCCCGTTCTTTCTCCCCTGCAGGCTGACAATGGGAGCACTGGAGCAAGGGCAGAGAGTGGAGTCCGCCCTCTCACACACCTCCTCCTCTCTTTCGTCCCTCCCCCCCTTGCAGAACCCTGCCTGGACCACGGTGGAGTCCCGCCCTCCCTTAATCCCCCCCCCACCTTTCCCCACTTCCCAGCAGCCTTGGCATCATGGCGCTCAGCATGGCTGTGGTAGGTTTAGGTAAGCAGGCATGAGGGTGAAGTGTGGGGTGGGTGGGTGGGAGCACGGGAGCAGTGGGCAGCTCACTGCCTTAAGGGCAGCATCCTCTGGGGTTGTGCAGTGTGGGTCGGGGTGTGGTGGGTGGAACCTACGCGGCACGGCACTCGGTGCTCAAGTAACCGATCTGACGTGCAAGTCCTAATGGACACCGTCAGAGCCGACCGGCCGGCGGCTCTGGTTCGCGTCAGCTCTGGCTACGTAAGTTGTGGTGGGTGAGAGGGAGAGGAGACAGGGGGCTGAAACCCCAGGGTGAGTTGAGTGAGGGGCAATGGTGGGGGCCTGAATTCCCCAGGGTAAGTGGAGTGAGAGGGAGAGAACAAAGGGGGTTGAAACCCCAGGGTGAGTTAAGTGAGGGGCAATGGTGGGGGCCTGAATCTCCCAGGATAAGTGGAGTGAGAGGGAGAGAAGAAGGGGGGATGAAATCCCAGGGTGAGTTAAGTGAGGGGGCATGGTGGGGGCCTGGATCCCCCAGGGTAAGTGGAGTGAGAGGGAGAGAAGAAGGGGGATGAGACCCCAGGGTGAGTTGAGTGAGGGGCAATGGTGGGGGCCTGAATCCTCCAAGGTATGTAGAGTGAGAGGGAAAGAAGAAAGGTGGCTGAAACCCCAGGGTGAGTTGAGTGAGGGGCAATGGTGGGGGCCTGAATCCCCCAGGGTAAATAGAGTGAGAGGGAGAGAAGAAAGGGGGCTGAAACCCCATGGTGAGTTGAGTGAGGGGCAATGGTGGGGGCCTGAATCCCCCAGGGTATGTAGAGTGAGAGGGAAAGAAGAAAGGTGGCTGAAACCTCTGGGTGAGTTGAGTGAGGGGCAATGGTTGGGGCCTGAATCCCCCAGCGTAAATAGAGTGAGAGGGAGAGAAGAAAGGGGGCTGAAACCCCTGGGTGAGTTGAGTGAGGGGCAATGGTGGGTGGCTGAATCCCCCAGGGTAAGTGGAGTGAGAAGGAGAGAAGAATGGGGGCTGAAACCCCAGGTTGGGTTGAGTGAGGGGCAATGGTGGGGGCCTGAATCCCCCAGGGTAAGTAGAGTGAGGGGAGGAGATGAGGGCTGAAACCCCCAAGGTGGTTGAGGATAGGGATTGGGAGGTAGATCCCCTAAGGCGGGGAGTGGAAGCCCCCTCGTGTTGCGTGATGCAGTGAGCCCTAAGTTTGATTCAATGACTCACTTCTGAGCTAGGGGATTCCAAAACCCGAATTAACGAGGCAGGTGAGGGGATTCAGACGAGTTCAGGCCCAAGGTTGCACTGGGAGGCTCAGAGGTGGGGTGGAGCCGGTCAGTTGCTTAAGGGGGAGGCTGTGCAATACATGATATACCAAACTTTCCATGTCAAGGCAATGGGTTAATAAGGAGCATCTTGAAAACGTGGTGGGGGTTGTGTGGGTGAAGGGTAAGGGGGATGGAAAAGTGGCATGTAAGTCCCTCACATTTGCGTTTCGTCTGACTTATGCTGGGAACTTGACCCCTTTCTCTTGCCTCTCAAGCGTGTTCTGTTGCCTCCCGTCACCCCCCACCCAGGTGTGGTGGAGGGAAAGTGGAAGCGGTTGGGAAAGGGAGGTTGGATGTTGAAACCTGAAGAGCATGGACTGATGATCAGACGTTGAGCTAGGGTTTAGGGTTGGCGTCACCCACCCACCCACACGGTTGGCGTCACTGCCCTCTCTCTGACACTGTTACGATGGTGTGGCTGCTGGTGGACAGGGACTTAGATAGGCTTTAGATAGGCCACTGCCCGGTTGTTACTATAATTGTTTGCAAAATCTAATGTGGTTCGTGAACCACGACTTGATCGAAGTTGTGCGAAGGCAAGTTGCTTAGCCCATTCTAATCATGTATTTGTCGTTCCTAATATGCTGGTCAGTAGCCTTTTAAAAGTTGCACCTTTGACGTATAATGGCAAATGTCACCATCGACCATATTTACTTGCCTGGTAAGATAATTTTGATAGGATACTACAAGACTGATTTTTTGTTAATGGTATTTGAGTTCACACTTTCCTGTGTTAGTAAAAAATATCCCCGTTTATGTATTTTTTTTCCTTTTTCTCAGGAGGAGTCTTGTCTGGATAGCCTAGCGGCCAAAGCCTATCTGCGACCTCATTCGACGCGCGCGAAAATTGTTGCTGGACAGGACACGTATCGCGGTGGCTTGCTGTGCAATGGGGTGGGTGGGGGGGGGTACAATTTGTGGCTGTGCCCCTTGAGCCTCAACCCACACGTGCGAAGGCAACAATATAGTGGTGCTGAAAGTTGCTGGCTGGGCTCACCTTTGTCGAGTCGTATGCGGAAACCTAGCATGTCCACACAGTTGTTGGAGATTTGAACAAGCATTGTCCAATAACCGTCATGACACGTAGATGACATTGTGATTTCCTTAGGAATGGCCAAGCTCAGGGATTGGACTGCCACTTGGCAGGGATCTGGGTGTCACGAATGCCCGCAGATAGCAAGTGGACAGAGATGTGACTACGAAGGGACAGGCGAAGACATTTTGGGTGTCTGTGTTTTTTATATTACATAATCATAGCATTTGGAGACGGACTTCCACCAGATTCTTGGCACTTACATGGATTCGCAACCATTCTGTTGATTCCGTTCGCTGTTCTGATTCCTTCCTACTCGGTGTGGATTATATTTACAAACATGCGGAGGGAGCATTAGAAAGCAGCCGCCGAAACTAGGAACCAGATGCTGAACAATGCCAAAACAGCATCAGGCGGCCGCAAATCACGAGCACCCTTCGACAGCCGCTCAAGCAGTTCTTCTGATAAGAAACCGCACAAGCACCGCACTCGATGAGTCTGTCAAGTGTGTGCGGTGGGACCGTCCTTGACGAGAGGGAATTGTGTGGTTCAGTAGGGCAGACTGCAGTCTCCGCGGCATCTTGTTGAGGCCCACACTTCCCTGATTGCTGTTGTGCTGCCATTCTCATCCATATCCACACCTGTTTTGTTAAAAGTGTTCGGGGATGGGTTTAACAAAATTGTGTGAATCAGGTGAACGCTCACCCTTTTGTTCATCAAGGGTTTCCCAATACCTGTTCCCAAGGTTCCATTCTTCGAACTTCACAAGGTTCCCGATCCGACACCCGACAGATGGCTTGGTGCTTCTCCCTCCTAGCAACACCCTCACCTCTCCTTCCAGCCATGGCGTCGAACCTGTTAGGAGCTTTTTCGCCATCGCGAGCATAAGCTGTCGTTAATACTAGTCTAAGAGCATGTTAGGAGTCATCGCGAGCTGCCAGCATAGTTATGCGTGCGGTAGTAAGTTATTGATGTAGCTACTCTCCATTCCATGTGTTCAAATACTCAATTGACCAAACCGTCGCGCGTCGAGATTCGACAAAATAGTAGGCCCGCGTTTCCCCCAACGTGATCCAGCCGTTTGAAAAAAACATTTGGGCCTACTCGATCATCCAGGCGGTCCGCGTTTTAACCGCGTTTCAGCTCGTTTCGCGACACATTATATCGACGATTTGAGCGATGCTTTATTTATGACCATCAAAACAGCACGATAACGGCCCAGGCGCTGCTACTGTACAGAATCTGCAAAATAAGTGAGTTTTTTTATTTTATTTTTTTCTTCAAAGCGGGAATCTCCCAGTGACGGCTGTTATGTCGGACTTGACGGTCGCTCCGAGGACGTCGAGCTATCCTTGCGATGTATGACGTATTTTCCGAGTAGTTCAGATTGTCGCAGACGAATCACGGCGAAGCTGAAAGGGAGCGGTAGTGCCGCAGTGAGAGCGTCGCCTATCGCTCGTGCGAGAGCCTCGCAGCCATGGACGATCCCGCGACATGTTTCCTCGTCGACGACGCCACGCTGTTCCCCGCCTTTCCTGGTACTTTTCCTCGGACACCCATGCCGTCCCCGTGGTCCCCCCCCATCCCGTCAGCCGCCGCGGAAGAAACAGGTCAGACCCCTCTTCAGAAGGACCATAACCCCATGATTCTCGCCGCGCCATGCGGGGCGAGCGGCGATAACAATTTAGGAGCAGCGGAGGGTGAAGGTACGGATGATACTGTAGCAGTAGGGGGGGGTAGAGGGGGTAGTGGTTACTACTTGAGGGCGGAGCCGGAGAAGGGAGGAGGCGGCATGGCGGCGAGTCACGGTGTGAAGGAGCCGAGGCGAGGGGGAATGGACGGGCGGTGGCACTCGGGGCTGCTCGTGTCGCTGCGGCGGCAGCAGCAGCAACAGCAGCAGCACCAGCAGCAAGAGCAGCAACGAAAACGGCGGCGGCAACAGCAACAACAACAGCAGCAGCAACAGCAGCAACAGGAGCCCCGGCCACATCAGCAGCAACGGCGCGAACAGCTGGACGTGAACGCGAATTTCGTACACATTCGCTCGGCCTCGCCTGCCCATTGCGCCCTGGGCGGAAACTACCCTTTCGGGTATTCCGCCTTCCCCATAACCTCACTCCCGCCGCCTCTCCCCTTTTCCCCCGCCGGCGGGCTTCTTCCGCCATTGGACGTGCGCGGAGACCGGGCCGCGGAAGGAGAGGGGGAGTGTGAAGCGGCGGGGGAAGAGGAGGCGGAGAGCATGGGTGCGTCGCCGCTTCAGGGGACGCGAACGGCGGTAACCATGGGGGGGAACGTGGGAGCGGCGGAAGGCGAGGAGCGGGCGGAAGATGCGGAAAGAGCGGAAGGGGCGCAAGAGGCAGGGCCTTTGTCGGCAGCAGATAGGGGCGATGGCAAGCAAGGGTGCGGGGAACCTGGAATCGGCGGTTCTCACGGAGATGTTGACGGTTACTTCAACAATAACGGTAACGTTGGTCTTGACTGTGACGGTTACGGTGACAACCTGACAGCAAGCAACGGCACTGCAGGGCTGGGTTCATCAGTGCAAGCAGACTGCGGGCGAGTGGGGTTTCGTGCAGTAGCTGCCGCACACAGGGGGTGCGCGGCTGGCGCAGCGATAGCAGCAGGGGCAGCAGGAGCAGCAGGGACAACAGCAGCAGCTGCTGCTGTTGCAGGAGCAGCAGGAGCGTGCTTACCTGGTGGTGTGCTCCCCGTGTGGGCCCCTGTGACCCCGGCCATTGTAGAGCCTGGCGCCAGCACACAGCACTGCCACGGCCACCGGCAGCAGCAGCAGCAGCAGCAGCAGCAGCAGCAGCAGCAGCAGCAGCAGCAGCAGCAGCAGCAAGAGCAGCAGCAAGAGCAGCCAATAAAAGCAGCAGCGAGAGAGGAAGAAACAGGAAGGTGGTTACAGCAGCAAGAGCAGCAGTGGCTGGTGCAGCAGCAGGAGGTGTTGAGGTCTCACCTGGAGTTGCAGGCAGCACGGCTGCAGCCCACCGGACAGAAGCTGCAGCAGCAATCACAAAACCACCACCAGCAATCGCTGCAGCAGCAGCAAAAGCAGCAGCAGGAGGAGGAGCAGCAGCAGCAGCAGGGGCACCAGCAGGAGCAGCAACAGGAGGAGGAGGAGCAGCAGCAGCAGGATGGGGGGGAGCAACAGCAGGAGCAACAGCAGGAGCAGGAGGAGGGGGAACGGGAGTTTTCATCTGGCATGGTGCGGCTCATTCACGACGCGGCTCACAGCCAGTTCAGCTTCCTGCAGCAACCAGTGGACCAACTCGCTGTCGCTGCAACCTCCCCCCGCCACCACCACCACTTCCCGCCCTCCCCACGCCCCTCGCCCCTCCCCTTGACGTCCCCCGTCCCCCCTTCCACGTTTGCCCCCTGCCCTGCCTCCGCGCCCTCATTCTCGCATCCCGTCCCCTCCGCGCTCGTGGTGCCATCAGCAGCAGCAGCGACAGAAGCCACGGCTGGAGCAGCAGTAGCGTCGTCCCCTCGCCAGCCTTCCCAGGCTTCTGTTCCGTCTGTCTGTGGCCGTGCTAGTGGGCGGGAGGTGGGGGGCGAGGGGCGGAGAGGAGAGGAGACGAGGGAGGGAGAGGCGGGAGCAGGGGAGAGCATGAGGGGGGGAGTGGGTGGCATGTGGGAAGTTGGCCCAGGGTTCTCTGGGCAAGCGGTGGTCAGTGGTGGAGGAGGGTGGGGAGGGGTAGGGGAGGACGAGGGAGGTGGGCCAGCAATGGTGGTAGCAGCAGAAGAATCAGCAGGTACAGGCAAGGCCGAGGGCGTGCATGGTGCATATGCCGTGTCTGAACCTTCTCCTCCTGCTGCTCCTGCTGCCACTGCTGCTCCTGCTGCCACTGCTGCCGCCGCTGCTTCTTCTGCTCCCGCTGCTCCTGCTGCTGCTCCTGCTGCTGCTCCTGCTGCTGCTCCTGCTGCTGCGCCTGCTGCTGCGCCTGCTGCTGCTCCTGCTGCGGCGGCTGCACATGCTGTGAGCTCATCTGCCGCGCCTGCCCTTGCCTCTGTTCATCCTGCTCCGAGTTTGCTGCCAGCCTCCAATGCAGCGCCTCTCCCGCGCAAGCGCTGTGCCACGTGGACGTTTGGCGATGTCTATGCGGCCATGGCAGGTGGCACGGGGGGGAATGTAGGGGGCGATATAGGGGGCGCTATGTGGGGCGCGCTTGACGCCCCCCTTGCTGCTTTTGATGCTGGTGAAATGGAACCTGGCTTCATGGGGCCTGCCGGTGCTGCTGCTGATGCTGTTGGTGGTGGTGGTGGTGGTGGTGGTGGTAAGAGTGTGGGAACGGATGCAGGGGGAGGGGAAAGCCTGTGGGATTCGCTCGAAGCGATGCAGCAGGAACAGCAGCAGCACGCACAGGGACGGGAGCAGCCTCAACAGGGCCACTTGCACGGACAGCAGCAGCAGCAGCCATTGCACCAGCCGTTGCACCAGCAGCCGCAGCAGCAGCAGCAGCAGCAGCAGCAACAGCAGCAGCAGCAGCAGCAGCGAGTGGGTGTGCGGCAATCAGACGTGGACAAGTGGCAGAGTCTGGTGGCACAGCTGCGCACAGACAGCATCAGCATCGCCCCTGTCTCCTCCACCAAGAGGGGCCGATGGGGCAGTGGCAGTAGCGCCGCCACCACCACCACCGCCTCCCAGCGCCTCACTCCCTACACGCCTCACTCTGCATCTGCTGCTCCTCCTGCTGATCCTTCTGCTGATCCTACCTCCCCCGCGTCCACCCTCCCTTCCCCTTCTTCTGCTCACAATTCTGCCGCGCTGCAGCACCCGCACACGTCACCGGAGGTACCATCTCCTCGCATGCACCCCTCTCTGGCGTTCTTCCGCTGCATCTCGGATCCACTACCCTCAGCGTCAGCAGCAGCAGCAGCAGCCAAAGGCACAGGAGCATTCGCAGCGCCACTTGCATCATCAGCAGCAGTAGGAGGACGAGGAGCAGCATCATCATCATCAGCAGCAGCAGCAGCAGCAGCAGCAGCAGCAGCAGCAGCAGCAGCAGTGGTGGGAGTGGCAGTAGGTGGGTTGCCACCCCCAGCGCCCAACCCGTTCGCTCGCAGGCTAGCTCTGCTGCGGCAGCAGCTGGAGGGCTCCCAGCCCCCTGCACAGACGCAGCAAGAGCAAGGAGCGGTGCTGTGGCAGCAGGGGCAGCAGGGGCAGCAGGGACAGCAAGGGCAGGGAGCAGTCGAAGAGGAGTTGAGTGCGGTGCGAAGGCAGCTGCTGCTGTTAAGGGGTATGCAGGCTGCGAGTGAAGGGAGAGGGCGTGTTGTTTCTGCTTCTGCTGCTGCTGCTGCTCCTTCTGCTTCTGGTGGTGGTACTGCTGCTGCTGCTGGTGCTGCTGGTGCCCAAGCGACGTTTTCAGTGCCTGCTGTGTATATGAGTGCTCCTACTGCCAATGCCAGTGGTGGTGGCAGTGTGGGGATGCGGAGGTCGTGGGGAGGCATGAGGAAGGGAGGTGGTCGTCGTAACGTCACTGCTGCAGGGCGTAGCATGCAAGGCATGGGAAACGACATGGTCACTACTAACATGGGAGCATCAAGCATGGGCAACGGCATGGGCAACGGCATGGTCAATGGCATGGGCAGTTTTGGAGCAACGCGGGCCTCCAGTGGGTTCAGTGACGGAGGCTCACAGTGTGTGGGGGAGCCCCTGATGGCACGCACCCACTCTCTGCCCCCTGCCTCCGCACCTGTGCTGCCAGCACGCATGGCTGCTCTGGCCCGCAAGTGGGGCTGCCGCCCTGGCAGTGCAGTTGGCGCTAGGGCAGGCTTGCTGGGTGCCTCTCCTGCTGCTCCTCCTTCTGCTACCGCTGCTACCGCTGCTGGTGGTTCTGGTGGTGGTGGTGGTGGCGGTGGTGGTGGTGGTGGCGCTGTGGCAGGGGCTGTGGCAGGTGCTGCTGCTGCTGCTGGTGGTGGTGTTACGGCTGGGGGGTGGGGGGGCAGCGGTATTCCCATGCATGGGAGAGTGGAGCGTGTGGGGGCTTGCAGGATGAGTGGCATGGGGAGTGGCATGGGGAGTGGCATGGGGGGTGCTATGGGCAGTGGCATGGGGAGTGGCATGGGGGGTGCTATGGGCAGTGGCATGGGGAGTGGCATGGGGGGTGCTATGGGCAGTGGCATGGGGGGTGGTATGGGGAGTGGCATGGGGAGTGGCATGGGTGGTGCTAGGGGCAGTGGTATGGGGGGTGGTTTGGGGAGTGGCATGGGGAGTGGCATGGGGGGTTCAGTGGCCATAGAGCCAGCCGTCAGCAGCAGAAGCTGGAGCCAGAGTTGTGGGCTGGGAGGCATGCCCTCTGGAATGGCTGCTAAGGGAGGGGCTGCTGCAGCTGTGGCTGCAGCCAATGCTGCAGCAGAGGCAGCAGGAGGAGGGGGAAGAGGGTTTGGTGCAACAGGTGGTGGTGATGGTAGCGTTAAAGCTGCGAGTATGGGGAGCTTTGGCGTTGCTGGTGCGAGTGCGGGTGAGGGGGCAGCAGGTGCTAGTTGTTGGAAGCAGCTGGGTTACTCTATGCAGCTGTCTCCTCCCACTCCCTCTGCTTCTCGCGCGCCGCCCTTGCCGCCCAACCCCCACTCCCTGCTGCCGCAGCTCCCCACACGCCATGCGCACTGCACCGCCAGGTCGCTGGTGGCAGCGGGAGAGGGAACCCCGTGGATGCAGAGCGGGGCATGTGGTGGCGAGGGCAGCGTGTTGGGCGGGGGTGCGTGTGCCGTCTCTGGTGGTGGTGGTGGTGGTGGTGGTGGTGGTGGTGGTGGTGGTGGTGGTGGTGGTGGTGGTGGTGGTGGTGGTGGTGGTGGTGGTGGTGGTGGTGGTGGTGGTGGTGGTGGTGGTGGTGGTGGTGGTGGTGGTGGTGGTGGTGGTGGTGGTGGTGGTGGTGGTGGTGGTGGTGGTGGTGGTGGTGGTGGTGGTGGTGGTGGTGGTGGTGGTGGTGGTGGTGGTGGTGGTGGTGGTGGTGGTGGTGGTGGTGGTGGTGGTGGTGGTGGTGGTGGTGGTGGTGGTGGTGGTGGTGGTGGTGGTGGTGGTGGTGGTGGTGGTGGTGTGCGGGGTGACGCCCTTGGGTCTGCACATTTGACTGCCAGCATGGGCGGCGGAGGAGCAGGAGGAGGAGGAGGAGCAGGAGGAGTTTCGGTTAGCATTGGAGGAGGGATTTCGGTCAGCATGGGAGGAGGAGGTGGAGTTTCACACAGCATGGGAAGAGGAGGAGGGGGAGGAGGGGGAGGGGTTTCAGCGAGTATGGGTGGATCGGTGGAGATTGGAGGATCAATGGCAGCAAATGGGTGGGCAGATGATGCTACTTGTTCCTCTTTCCCCCCCTCGCTGCTCCTCCCTCCGGAATGCCAGCCCGCCTCCGCTCCTCCTGCTCCCATATCGCGCGCTCATGCTGCTAAACGCCAGCTGCTTTTCCAGGCATACAGACAGCAGCAGCAGCAGCAGCAGCAGCAGCAGCAGCAGCAGTTGAGTGAAGGTGGAGGAGAGGTGGGTGGAATGCAGAGAGAGATGCGGTGGAGTGCAGGGGGGGTGGGTGCAGAGTCTAGGAGTGCATGGGACGACAGCACCCTGCAAGCCCATGCACACGCCCATGGTCAGGCAAGTGGGCTGATCAACACAATTGGCATGTTCCGACAGACAGGTGTGGGTGCTAAATCCGCACTTCCTGTAGCCGCAGGAGCAGGAGGCGCAGCGGGAAAGGCAGGGGCAGCAGGGGGAATGGTCCCAGTCCCAGAGAGGATGATTGGTGGTGGTGGCATAGGTTCAGTGGGTATGGCAGGCTGCAAGGGAGGCAGGGGCATGGGTGGTGGCAGCATGAGCGGTGCGTGGAGCGAGCATGCAGCTGCTGTGGGCTTGAGAAAGGGCGTGGGTATGGGCATGGGAACGGGAGTGTCGACCTTTTTCCAGCGCAGCAACACGCCCTCACGACCCACCGTACCGCTTGAGGTACGCTGCTCTGCCTCCCCTCCCTCCCTCCATCGCCCCCTCCCTCCCTCCCTCCATCACCCCCTCCCTCCCTCCCTCCATCACCCCCTCCCTCCCTCCCTCCCTCCCTGCCTCCCTCCTGTGCCTCACGACTACCTACCGTACCGTACATACCTGCTGTGCCTTGCAGTCTTCATCCACTGTCCTCTGTGACATGCGCTTCACCTCTGTAACCATCTGCTCTCCCTCCTTCCTGTTTTTCTCCTTCAATCTCCCCTCTCCCCTCTCCCCTCTCCTCTCTCCCCACTCCCATCTCCCCTCTCCCCTCTCCCATCTCCCATCTCCCCTCTCCCCTCTCCCCTCTCCCATCACCACACCACAGGTGCAGCTAGCTCAACTGACCGCAGAGGTCGCAGCACAGCCGTGTCCCACTGGCCTGCTGGGTGCACATCCCCACACCACCTGTAATTAACTAGCACCCCTGGTAGTAACAGCACGGCTTGTAATAGCTAGAACCGCTTGTATTAACAGCACTGGTTGTGATAACTAGCACCGCTTGTAGCTATCACCTCTTCTAACCAGCACCACTTGTAAGAATAATTGTTTGAAGTACTTACCGTACGAGGTTGATACAACTCACCACCTCTCCACTACCACCATCCTGTCATTCCCTGTAAATCCCATAATAAAATAGAATCGCTTGTAGCATACATTACATACTGTAAGGAAAATTCATTTTCCTTACTTCGCGTCCCTGCTTAGCGCGTACATGTCCGTTCCCGCCATCGGCACCCATCCATGAACGTTACCCGCTCACGACATTAGCCTCGACCACGACTCCCGCCACTGTTCACGACGCGACCCAACCTAACGGTTCGGTTGGTAACCTGCGCTCCGGACCTCCGCCTCGACATTTCCCAAACCTCGGCGCTAGGCCCGTAGCGCACCCCAATTTCCCGCATTACCGTTACCACGCTAGCTTCGCTATATAACTTCGCTCATGCTTTTCGCTCAACTGTATTGATTGCTTCGATAGTGCAATTCTCGCTCGATCACTCAATTGCACTCGTAACACTTGGTATTCAGAGCCTACGACATCTTTTGGGACCGCACTCACACCTTCGCTTCCCCACTATCTCATTTTTTGGGGGGTAGACGTCTCTCAGCGAAACAAGCACCGCCGCTCGTAGTGCTCTCTCGTAAGCACGCACGGCCACGACAGAGGCTCTCGCTGAGCTTGCCCGACACCCCCGCCATGGCCGAATTCACTCTCGCGACACTGACGCAGGAGCAACTCGACCGTCTCGTGCGCCAAATCGAAGACTCGGCGCTCGAAATTGCGACACTCATGGCGGAACGCGACTCCGCTCGTCAGCAATCTACGGTGAATGCTCCAGCGCCACCACACGCACCTGCAAATGCACCCGCACAATCGGAGGAACCGATCATCATTTCATCAGGCACACCGACACAAAACGACAGCGTGGGACAGCGCTCAGGCGCAGCCAGTGATGGCGCCGCTCAATCGATGCCTGGCATGGAAAGGAACAGGGCCGCGCCAAGCCCGCGGGGGCCTCGTGAAGCCCGTCGGCACGTGGAGTTTGCGGCGACAAGTGGCGACCACGCCATCATGGCACCAATGCCACTCAAGCCGCAGCGCCCGCCCTGATTCGACCCGAGCCAGCGTGGAGGTCCGACGGTTCAATCGTGGGTCTTCACGATGAACGTCTTTTTCGACGCGAACTATGTCGAGTCGGACGCAGCGAAGATCCGATACGCCGTCTCGCTGCTGAGGGGCCCCGCCATGGACTGGTGGCGAGTCATCGTGACGTCGCCACGCGCCTACGAGCCACCGTCGCAAGAGGAAGGGCCCACGGGTCCAGCCGTCACCTGGAGTTCATTTTGCGAAACTGCCCAGTACAGCACGTGGGATGCGTGGTGCGCAGGGCTTCGGGCGCGCTTCGAGCGGATCGCGGCTTCCATTTCGGCGCGTCAGAGACTGCGTACTTGGCGGCAGCTCGGGTCGGTTCAAGACTACACGAGCGGTTTTCTCGCATTATGCGAGCAAGTAGGCTACATGCACGAAGCGGACCAGGTGGACCGTTACGTCGGAGGGCTGAAGCCGGACATCTCGCACGAAATCATGCTACGCGGACTCTCGAATTTCAACGAGATTCTCGCGCTCGCCGAGAAAATCGACATCTTGCGCCGTCCGAGACCGGGGTCCTACTATGGACATCGCCCTCGGGGACCGATCGAGCACGCCACCGTACATGCCGTCGCGACAAATGCAGCTGCCGCGCCGTTTAAGGGGCGCTGCTTTGCTTGCAATAGGCCGGGCCATCGCAAGAGTGAGTGCCCAGAGGAGCTGAGGCGCCGCGGAGCAGAGCAGGGGAGGGAGTCTCCAAGGCAGGGAAACGCCAGCAGTCAGTAGGAATCGGGCCAACTACTGACGAGACTGCCTGCTCGCCCAACCTCACCGACCCTCACCGAGTCACAGTACCGATTCATGCTATTGATCGGGCTCGGACGAATAAGGAGGGTACAGCGACGGATTGCCCAGTACTGATCCACGGGAAAATACTGGGAGCAGCAGTGAAGATTTTTATAGACGGAGGAGCAAGTCACAGCTTAGTTAATACTGCAACCGCACGGAAGCTGCAACTGACACTTAGTCGGTATTTACCCCAGATAGATGCACGCTTAGTTGATGGCACGCCGCTGGCCATACGGGACAAGGTGGAGATAGTAAAAGTCCGCTGCGGGGGGAATTTCGGGTCTACGCAGGAAATGCTCACGACGACATTGGATGGGCACGACATTTTACTGGGACGTGATTGGCAGCGACGGTATAACCCGCGAATTGACTGGACGACGGGTAGCTGCACTGTGCGAAGTAGCGGTAACTGGGTTGAACTACCCCGCTGGCAGTCGCCCGAGTCTTCAACGGTCCACGTCAACGCCGTCACAATGAAACGGGCTGTCGCCGCTGGAGCTGACGTGTACGCAGTAGATATAGCAGTAGTGGAGGAAGCAGAGCAGCCGACCGACTTTCAGAAACTGCTGGCAGCGTTACCACCCGAACTGCAGGAATTGTTGAAACGGTACCCGGGGATTTTTCCCGACGACTTACCGGAGGGACTGCCACCTCAGCGAGCACACGACCACCGAATAGAGTTAGAACCTGGGGCACAGCCAACCGTACAGCGACAGTTCAGACTGACACAGCCCGAGCTCGACGAACTGAGGAAGCAGTTAGATTACCTACTAGAGAAGAAATTCATCCGACCGAGCTCATCACCGTTCGCCGCGCTGATACTGTTCACACCGAAAAAGGACGGAGGTTTTCGCATGTGCATCGACTACAGAGCACTAAACAGGGTTATGTTAGAATCTTAGGCAAGGTGGTTTCAACTATCGAGGAGTTTGGTACAAAAGTAAAACCTAAGGGGTTGTACCCCACAGTGAGTACCCCACTAAAGCCTACCTAAACTATAACATATAAACATATGTTTGACACACCCCCATAGGCAAAGTGGGGGAGAACAGAGGGTCACAAGGCCAGGCAGGAAGTGCAAAGCAAGCTCAGGGTGGATCACAACGTCACCACGCAGTCTGAGCACAAGCAAAAGGCCACAAGGCCAGTTCACATGCAGAGATATATATGTAACAAGAACAGCACAGTGATCTCTAGCTAGCAAGAGCAAGCATGCAGGTATATATATATAGATCACAGTACAAGCAGAGACTACAGCAAGTGTGGAAACGTAGGCACAAGGCCCAACAAAGTACAAAAGCGCTGATGGTCACCAGACGGAAGTGCCTTGGTGAATATATCAGCAGTGTTGGCCCGAGTGGCCACGTGAGCAAGGCGAAGCTGGCCCCGCTGCTGCAACTCTCGAGCCAGGAAGTAACGCAGAGCGATGTGCTTCGTTCTGTGCTCCAGTCTGTGCTCCTGACACAAGGCAATGGCGGCCTTGTTGTCTACGTACAGAACTGGAGGAGAACGAGGCCGCTCCCCCAGGTCGGTCAGCAGGTAGGTGAGCCAGCGTAACTCCTGTGCAGCCATGGCTGTGGCGTAGATCTCAGCCTCACAACTGGAGCTGAGAACAGAAGACGAGCGTGTAGACTGCCAAGAAACAGAGCCAGAGCCAAGGCTGAAGGTGTAACCCTGTGACGACCGCTGCGTAGCCTGGTCGTCAACCCAAGAAGCGTCTGAGTGGCCAGTGAGGACTACGTCGCTCCGTCCTCCAAGCACGAGCCCCATGCCCGATGTACTGCACAAGTAGCGTAGTACCCTCTTAGCAGCATCCATGTGCACCTTTCGGTGCCGACCAGGAGCCACGTAGCGAGCCAGAAGGCCAAGAGGGTACGCAAGGTCAGGACGAGTGCAGGTCATCAGGTACATGAGGCAGCCCACTAGCTCTGGGTAAGGACCACTCGGCTCTACGGACTCGTCCGAAGGTGGAGCTGAGAGCGAGTGACCTGTAGCCAGAGGAGTGGCCTGTGCCGAGGACCAGGTGAAGCCGAAGCGCTGAAGGACCTGCTGCACCGTGTGTGACTGAGTCAGTATGATGGTGCGGCGTGCTCTGTCCCGGGTGATCCGCAAGCCAAGATAGCTTGTCAGCTCACCCAGGTCTGTGCACGTGTGTCTCTTCTGCAGCTCCGACTTCACCAGGGCGAGAGCCTCAGTGTCAGCAGTGGCAAAGACCAAGTCGTCGACGTACACGAGGATGTAGAACAGCGGCAGCGAAGTGTCGGTGCGTAGAAACAGCGACGGGTCAGCAGTCGAAGGAGCAAACCCAAGAGCCGCAAGTGTCGTCCTCAGTGTGTCGTGCCACTCATGTGGCGCCTGGCGGAGACCGTAGACCGGCCGCCGGAGGCTCCACTGGGTACCAGGAGGGAACGACCCAGTGAAGCCAGGTGGGCGGCGCAGCCAGATCTCCTCGTGCAGGCTGCCCTGTAGGAAAGCAGTGCTGAAGTCAAGACAGTGGAGCTCATAGTCACGCTGAGCGGCGACGTGCAGCAGAACCCGAAGAGTGGTCATCTTCGGGGTGGGGGAGAAAGTATGGAAGAAGTCAACTCCCTCTCGCTGACGGAAGCCTCGAGCAACGTAACGAGCCTTGAAGACAGGCGGAGAACCCGGCGGCCGCTTCACCCTGAAAATCCACATGCCACTGACGATGTTCGCCGCAGGAGGGGGAACCTCGTCGACGTACGTGCCTGTGGACTTCCAGGATGCCATCTCTGCGTCCATGGCTGTCTGCCACTGAGAGGAGTACTCACCCGCGATCGCCTCAGCGTAAGAGCGCGGGGTCGGGATGTCTGGAGCATCCGGGTCTCCCTCAGGGGCAAGCAGCATGGCCACGAGATGAGGCGCAGCGGCGGCAAGACACTCAAGGTCCTCCTGCCTGTCCTCAAGGACGTCCGTGCCAAGAGTACACTCACCCCCGACGGACGGAGGACAG